CATGTACAAAATTGATAGGAGGGGGGGTCCAAAAATCGTATACTAGGAAATTACCAAGCTCCACCTCCAGAGCGATTTGAAAATTTTGTAGGCAAAATTCAAATTAATATTCAATTTTAGCGTGAGAAGAATGTATAGCGTAGTTTATTTGTGAGATAATTTCCAAGAAAACGTTTTTTGGACCCGGCCCCCCCATTCCTACTCGTATCAATTGGATGGAGACAGATCATATGGAAAATTTTGAACATATAGCTGCTGAGTGCTGGGTTCGGACCCCTAGCCGCGTCGCTCGGTCACCTAGCCTGTCCTGCCGCAGCGCTTGGCCCCCAAAGATGTTCCAGCCGCAGCGCTTGGGCCAGAAATTGTCTGAACCCAATCTCTCTTTGAAATACTACAAAAAAATATAAATTTTGAGTTCATGTACAAAATTGGTCCATAAAGTTATTTAAATATTTTGTTCCATTTCCATGACTTGAAAATGACACTTTTTTTAGAGGTTTGGAATTTTTAATAATTATGTATGAGTCCGGAACTCTGGTCTGGGTAAAGATGCGGGGGTACCCGCTCTGGCCTGGTAGAATTCAACCTGATAGGGTTAATAACTTATACAAACAAGGTAACATACTGGTAAAGGGGGGAGGGGTAATTTTAACCTGCAGATAGTGTTAATTTAACATGTAAACTTAATTTTAAAAATAAAACATATTTTTCCAGAAAAAGTAAAATTAAATGTTAACAACAGTTAATTTAAATCCCATATTAGTTATTGTATAGAAGCTCGGGGGGGGGGGATTAAGTCCCTCTAAATAAACACTGACACATTTTTATGATAATAAAAAAATGCATAAGAAATTTTGTTTGCGAAACCTATAAAGCTCATACTGAAGCTATTTAAAAAATTTTTTTTGAAATTCCCTGATTTTATCAAATTAACTTCACTTTGTTTCATGTGTAAGTATGATAGAGGGAATATTCCACTTTCCATTGAACACTTTTTCACTCCTTACAGTCGAGAAACCGTTCTAAACAGTATACTCTGAAAGTACCATTGAAAAAGAAGTTACATTCTTTTCCTAGCTATAACACTTCCAGAAACATGGAATAACCTTAGTCTTAATCTTAAGAGAATCTCAACTTTCGATAATTTTAAGAAATATCTTAAAAAAGATATCTTTGATTCATTTGATTGAAGTTTGTAAAAATAGGTCCTCTAATCTTTCATTTTTACAAGATGGGTGTTGTTCTTTAGCCCCCATGGTCTCTGACTCCTGATCTGGTTTTCTCTTCTCTAGTTGTATTATTTCAGGATATAGCATTTAATCAGCTATGCTAGCAATATCCTTTTGCTATTCTAATAAGAAGAAAACATATTTAGTTACAATATTGTTATTTCTGACAACTTTGTAAATTTAACCGATATTTAGCAATTGAAACGATATTTTTATTATTATTCTTATATTGTAGAAACAAGATATACGAGCAAGGCGCGGCGTTCAAAGCATAGTTTGTCCACATGACGAAGCTTAAACCTTTTTTTATACTTCCCTTGAATTTTGCAGTTTGCACAGTTTGTATATTAAAATTCACGGAGGTGGGAGGGGGGGGGGGGGTTCTTGGTGTTAAAATAATTCAAGATACAAATATATACGAGTCACACTAATTGTTTAATGGGTTTTTGACATCACGTTTTTCCTGACTTAGAATTCCATAAATGACCCAAGTAATATTATTTAATTGTTTTAGAAATCAGGGAGGAAGTGAAAGTTACCTATATCATTTTTTTTAAAGTTGAGCGTGGAGTTAAATATCACGTGGAGTTTTTAAACTACCGTGGAGAACATGCCTGGGTTCCCTCCTCCGCCCTCTCCGCCCTAGACTTGACGAATGTTGGCGAAGACAGGTAAAAAACAATCTTAATTGGGGGATTTTGTTATGCAACTTGGATGATAGTTTTGCAGATTAAGTACGATTTTCAAGTTATAGAATATTTTTAGAGTGATCAAACGGCAAACATTGAAGTTGATGCTGCTCTATTTTCTTTAAATATAGTCTATATTTATATATATATATTCAGACTGAAATTGTAAAATTTTGCTATTGAACCAGTTTTACTATATCATTCAATCATTAATGTCTCATTAAGTTCGGCTGATTTCTTTTAACAATTTAACATTATTAAGCAATTCAATAAATAGTAAGGTTAAATGGTATATTATTATACAAATGTGCGTGTTTGAGTGCTAAAAGTATCATTTAGTAAAATTACCGTTAACGGAAAACTAAAAATCATATTGCATCAGCTTGAAAAGTTAAGTCAGTCAGAGTAAATCTTTACAATTGATCATGAGTGGATGTACCTTGCTAAAATTTAGATTTTCTCCTTCAGGAAAATTTGACCGAGATATTTTGATCTTAGTATTTTAGAATTTTAAATCTTAGACGTTACTTACTGATTATCCTTAAAGGGTAAACTTAATTCTATTACATCATTTAACTTTTTATGTAATGGGGGGGGGGGGGTTGTTTTATTTGGACATCTATACATGATTTAGAGGAAGTTGGTTGGGGCCAATTTACCCCCCCTCCAACAGCAGCAGGAATGATGAAGTTCCAAAAATTTCAAATAAATTAATCTTGCTTCATGAATAAAACAAAGATCTTCATTCTTCATCATTTCAATTCTTGGACCAAAGTTCTATTTGATAACCCGCTTTTCTCTCCTCTTCTTAAAAATGTATGATCTAATATCCAGGAAACAGTTGCGTTATAGTAAAAAAATATTTTCCCCAAAAGTTGACCCCCCTAGACGAAACCTCCAGTACGCCCTTGTGATATCTAATGATTTTATAATCAAGTCCGGTGTAGTGCATGGGGACACTGCATCTCCCTCCATGGAAACACCTCCCCCTAAAGTTTAACCATTTCAACACAGTGCTAGACATAAAAAACAATGTTAAAACATTAAAAATTATAAGCTTACATATATTAAATACGCATTTAGTTCTAAATTTATTTTAAAGGGAGTAAAGACAAATAAGGTATTTCCTGTCAAAATGTCGTCTTCCTTTCAAATCATCAAAAAAAATCATATTTATTCAAGTCATAGATAATTTTTAATGTGTTTTTCCAATCAAAATACATTAATGAATTTAGGAAAATGTCATAACATTGCTTTTTATGTCTGACATTGTGTTGAAATGGTTTACATTTCAGGGGGAGATGTCCTTACGTACGACACCTGTAGATTTTGACAACCCTTTCCTACGGTGTTTAGCATGCTAGATCTAAATCTATATCTAAATTTTAGTTGTCTGTTTGTTTGCTTGTATCCAATAAACGTCAAAACGGCTGAACCGATTAGTCCCAAACTGTTTTTGGTAACTCACAAGACCCAAGGGAAGGTTTATCTGTGATTTGAGAACATATAAAAATTTCCACTGTGAAAGAAACAGTGAGCTAAATTTGTTGCAAAGTGAATAAATACTAAAGTGGAACAGACTAAGGCAACGACGACAGGTTGGGCCATAAGGTTTTATTTGGTTTGGAATTAATTGCATGAAAAGATTTCGTTTGGAAAGTAAACACTAGAAAAAATAGACTAAAGACCCATGTAAATGTCGTCTTCAGATAGAACTACGAAATTTTCACGATTGAAAATCAAAAAGTTTTGTATGTTTATATGTATTTTATATGTAAATACTATTTAGTCGCTTAATCAATTCATTGATTTTGCCTGGCATTTCTAAATCTATAAGAATTTATCTTTAAAACTGACTAGTTTTGTTCTTTCAAATCTCACTCCATTNTTCTGGGCACAATGCCTGTTCCGATCGGTTCAGCTGTTTTGACGTTTATTGGATACAAACAAACAAACAAACAAACAGACAAACAGACAGACAGACAAGCCAAATTTATATATAGATATATACATATTTATATTTACTTGGGACATAAAATGTCGTCATCCAACTATGAGTTTGGCCCACTTTAGTATTTATTCACTTTGAATTTGTTGCGCCTTAAAAGCTTAGTAACGAGGAAATGCATTTAGATATAAGTAAAGCAAACAAACTAACGAAAAGATCAAACCACTGGACATGCATTATTGCTATAAGGAAAAATTAACTTATATGTATTAATAATTACGAGTTTCAGCATTTGCGCATTGCAATTTTTGATAACTCTAATGACGATTCCCGTCATGACGAAATCAAAGTTTAGAATATGTTAGAAACGCTGAATGTCAAATTAAAGCAATTCAAAAAGCTTTGGGTTGTTATTTTTTCCAACTAACATTTATAGTTTTATTGGTATATGCTCAATGCAAATGGAACCTAACAAAAATAATGGAATTCTTAAACTCAAGAAATAATCTTGATACATCCCATCGTAAGAATGCATCAAGATTATTTCATCTCTTTAAGAATTTCCCTAATTTTTAACATACGCCAATCTGTATTTTGAGATTTTGTTAAAAAATTGCTCAATTTTAGGCCAGGGAAATATCGAACCAAAGCAAAGAAATATTATGAATATCATAACGGAGCTGTTCAACTTGCAACCAGGATACTACAGCAACAGGAGAAAGAAGGGATGAGACAGAATAATTCAGAACAGATACAGGAGAAAGAATCTCTGCAGGCTCTAGAAGAGGAGGAAGCAGATCAGTCTCAGCATCAAGACCAAAAAGAAGAACGAAGAGGGATAAAACGTAATTCGGAAAAACAAACTTGTATGAAAGAGATGGAGCAAGAAAAGGAAAGTGGGGGAAAGAGAAGAAAAGATAATTTAGGTTATGAAACTCAAATCTGTCTGAAGGTAAAGATTATAGGTTAATTATGACTTTTTTATCCTTTTTTACTATCTCTTTATTTAACATTGTTACGCACTTAAATCTGTTTATATATTAGCTTCTGACGAACTTCATCAATTAGAGTCTGAGATTCATTTTATATTCTAAAGATAAACGAGAGGTTCACTGAAATTTTTCAGTAAAAAAAAAAAAATTTATATTTTTTTTTCTTTACAAATCATCTTAATTTATATATATACTAGCAGAAAGGCCCGACATTGCCCGAGGAAAAAAAAATTCGAATTTTGAAAAAAAAAATTTGCAAAAAATCGAATTTTTTAAACCTATTACACCCCCCGGCCACCCATGAGTGTCTACAAAAAATTCAGCCCAATCGGTCCAGCCGTTTGACCGGCTATAGGCAACATTTATATATATACAAATGTCTTGTTTTATTATATAGATATATTCACTATAGGTTGTCTTACGAAACATGACAGTTGAGACTTAAATATCGTTTAAGACTTTTGTACTAATTTCTAGCATTCATTTGTCAAATTAAAATTAAAAGCAACAAATATAAAATATCCCCAGTTCTGCCATTTTTGTTCTTATAAAAATACCGGAGATTCAATAGATTTTGTTTAGAATTCAACATTTCTGATTTTATTTTATAAACTGAAATCTGAACAAAATTCTTAATATCTCCGGTAATATTGAAAGCACAAAAAAAGCAGACCAAATTTTGGTTTCCAGGACTAGGTGAGTTTTGGGGTCAATGTTTCAAGAATCATAAATGTAAAAGTAGCTTGTCAAATGAATGCCGCTTGTTATTTCTAAGATCAAAGACGATATTTAAACTCTTTCTCTTCAGTGTCATGTTTTGTGGGACACCCCCTTCTGTTGTCTCTCCGGGACCAGACTTACGGAGACAAGATAATATTTGAATAAGTATTTATTTTAAATTCGGTTCTTAGGAAGATGAAATAAAGCAGTGCTTTGATGATCCAAAAGAAAGAAAAGACGAATCAAATGCAATGGAGGTAGAAGTAGAAGTCTGCCTTGAATCAAAATCAAGAAGTGGCGCAAGAATGAAGACTGGAGTAACAGGTCAAAAAGACGTAGGAGTAGAAATGCGAGCATCTGAAAGAAAGGGTGCAGGAGCAACATTAAAACGGGATTTAAGCACAGTAAGAAAGAAGAAAGGAAGAGCTGTAGGAAAGAGATTGAATTCAGCTGGAAAAGGAGAAGAAGAGTTAGAACAGACTAGATATAAAGAGACGGACGCTGCTGAAGTCAAGAATAAAAGTACAGGTGATTATACTAATAAAGAATACTTAGAAACCAACAGTAGCATCCAAGAACGTAAAGTGACTGATGAGGAAACGAATACTATCCTTGATGTTCAATTCTCCAGGAGCATAAGATTAACAAGATCAAAATCGCAGGTTCCACAGTTTGAATTTGAGAAAATACTTGCCACGACTCTAATTAGAAAGAAGAAGACACATAAAGAGAAAGAACAATGTGTTAGCAAGGCTAACGCAGAGATTGAAAAGAATAGGAACGGAATTGACATGGAAGTAAATATTGAGTTTGAGAAGCTTAGTACAAGTGATTTAATTTATGTGACTGAAGAAGAGTCATCTAAGGAAAAGAACATTGCAGTGGAAGATGAGGAGGAGAGATTTAGTAAAATAGAATCAAGAAACCTGAGTCAGTCTGAGAACCAGAAAGCTAGAAAGTCCGGAAAAGCCAAGAAAAGGGTAAAGAGAAACTTGGAAAGTTTGATTCAGAAAAATGAAGCAAGGGAAGCAGGTAAAATCAGAATGAATAAAAGCATAGAAGGAGTAAACGAACTGTTGTCAAACAATGACGAAAAAGAGATTGGTGAAATAAACAAGGAGAGCGGAAATCAATGTATATTAGGAAATGAAGAGAATAAGGAGATCACTAAAGATCTTCAAGTTCTGCAGATGCCACAGGATGTTGTTGGAAACCGAGACAGGGAATTGGAAAACCTGAAGAACAATGGTGTGTCTAGATTAAGGAAACTAAAAGTGAAATACACAAAAAGAAGGAGAATATCAGTACAGCAAGTAAATTCTGCATATAAGTCTGTATGGCTTAGAAAATATAAAACCCAGAAAAATGTACAGAAAGAAATTGAATTCAGGAAGTCACTGAAAGTGAAAAATAGCAATATTAAGAAGAAACAGGGTCCGATAGTTACCCATAAGAACCAAGAAATGGGCGCAGAAGAAGAAAATTCTGATCTTGGCAAACAAGGAAGACTTGAAATGATCGAGACAGGAAAAGAACCAATTTCTAAAGAGGAATCTTATTCCAAGGGAACTGATCTTGGTGAACCCATGAACGATCTCAATCCTTTGCTGGACATTAGTTTGACTGGAAATATTCCTGTTCTTGAGGCTCTGCCTCATCCCTCATTTCTTCCTTCACTTGATGATATAGGATCCATATTTGATGCAAAGGGCTCAGAAGACCTTATAAATGAACCTATTATTGCATCTCAGGATTCTATGAGTGATCATCTTTTGAGCTTATCCGATATTTCGCGTGAAGACTTTCAAACTGAAAATGTTAAAGAAAATTTACCCAAAATTAAGAGATTTCGTTTGAATGAAGCATTAAAGACTACAGAAGAAATTAGTAATGAAGTATCAGATAATACAGAAGAGCTGTCTAATGAAGCATCTTCCAATAAAGAGGAAGTTATTGCTGAAATATCTGACAATACAAAAGAAGTATTTAACGTTGATGCTTCCAGTTCAATATCCGGATATGAGATGACCAGTTTTGGCTCTGGAGCTGAATCCAAGTTAGGATATAAACCCAAGGGAGAAAATGTTCCGAAGATAGATGCCAAGAAGCTACCCCTCAATATCCTCTCCTATTCGTCCTCTGATTCGTCCATTGTCCAGGTAATCTTAACTTTACATAAAAACAAGCTATATTAAAACGATGTGCGCTTCAACATATTATATAAACTTTACTTTCTTAAATTTAAAAATTTTTTTATCAGTGCATGAAGTAAAACATAAAAGAAATTACGAAACAGACCTATTTTTCTTATGCGGGATAAGCTTTTTTACAGATCTAGATGACAAAATCTGAATTTGGCTTTTTGTGTAATATTTGTGCCATGGATAGTACAGATTGACAAATTTTTAGATTTCTTTATCATTTTATGTCAGAAACACGATTACAATTTAAAGTATACAGAATGTGAGTTAAGAGAATTTTTACAAAATTATAAAACTTTCCTACTCTATAGAATGTTAAGAGGAAAAGACTATTGAGAAGGAAGAGATCAAATAAATCCAAAGAAACGATGAAAAAAGTTGAATCAAAATCTTCCTCTTCTAAACCAGATCTGAAATTGAATTTTAGTAAGAGCATGTTTAAGAAAACCTTGGTCAAAGACGTGAGCAAACCTAAAAAAGATGAGACAAAATCAAACCTCAGAGGAAAGTTTTATTCAAGTAGATCAGAGAAGATGTGTGCGTTATCATTAGCCAAGCAATCCAGGTATAAACATCCGGGGAACAAGTCTAACTCCAATCTTGTAAAAAACAATATAATTAAATCTGGAGAAATCAACAAATTGGCAAATGAGGATATTTTGGGACAGAAGAAAACTAAGGTAAAATTGAAAATTGGATTCCATTAAATCATCTCAATAAGTAGAATTTTACATACAATTTGAATATGCATAACCCTTTTCTTTAACTGTGCATCTTTTTCAGATGATGTCCTGTTTTAAAATTCCGAAGATAAGGAAAGGAGAGACACAAAATCACAGAAGGTAAAATTATGCTTTATGTTTGGACATTCAGAAAGTAAGGGGACATATTCTCTTTCATACTGTCCTGGTCACTGTTTCAGTGGGGGGGCGTGAATTAAAATTTAGACTGTTGCTGCATTAAGAATTTTTTTATAAATTTTATAATTCAATCGGTTTTTTTATTGTTCTTAAATCGTTTTGAATGTCAGTTTACTTCATGATAATCAATGTTTTGTTGAGAAAAAGATTTTCAACATTATTTATTTTAAATCTTCTCTCGAATCTATGATTTTTTACGAATCAGTGATCATCACCACTGCTTAGGATTGTTTGTTTTGATGCGGATTTAGATCTGCATTATATATAATAAGATCTGTATCCGGCTCGTAATTTTTTAAGTAATAAAATCTAAAAGTTCTACTCATTTTTGTCATTGCCGAGACAGATCTCGTAAAAGTGAACCAGGCGGATCAAAATCCGGATCTTGCTCCTGGATCCGGATCCAGGTTATGAACATCTCTTCAAGATTTACTGATTTTTTTTAACAAAGCAGAATTTTCAAATTATTTTTCTTCTTTCTTTCCGCTTATTGTTATGCTAAAACTTAATGAACCATTCAGAGATCAGGAAATTTTTATAATCTCTTCTAACAGTTCAGATTTGGATTTTAAGAGCAAATCTTTTTTTTTTGTAGTTTTTGGTCGATTTTTTGCTCCTTGGATCCAGGAAGCCAAAATCTTGTCTTGAGGATCCAACGGATCTGGATCCTAAGCACTGAAATAAACATAATTCTAGATAAAATACCACAAAATTCTATTATTTCACAATATATAACCTTTTTTTCTAGCTCTGAATGGGGTCATGTAAAAGAAGCGAGCACTGCAGGTAACACTGTAGGGAACACTTTAGGTAACACTGCATGTTAAAAAATATAATACTAAAGATCAAATTCTTGAATGTTTTCAAAGAAATTATTTTTATCTTTATTTATAGAAGCTTCAAATAATCCTTCTGGAACCACTGGCCTTGAAGACCACGCTACCACTGGTTTCAATGACCAAAGGTGGAATTGGGTAAACAACTTTGATCAGGGTTTGCCCGAAAATACAGAAAGAGACTCAAATTTAAGTCACATCAGGCAATCTTTTCATCAATCAACCTTTCCCCAATCTGTTCACGATCATCTGAATTTTCAAGATCACCGAACCCAGTCTCAGGTTCCAGCTCCATATTTTCAAACTAGTCAGTTAGATCAGTCTTCCAACTTTCTCCAATATCATCATCAACGTTTGCAAGATCATCGCACTCAGTTCCCCGAAGGTTTAAATAATCTAGATTATCTCCAGATTGATCTAAATACATCTGTGCACTCTATCGAAGAGCCTGGCAGCATCGAGAGATTTAGGTGGTTTATGTCATCATTATTTTCTCTTAGTTTACTTCTCATGATATTCATGTTTATATTGTCTTCCCTAGTCCGATCTTTTAGCTTTTTATTATTTGCTTATGCTTATATGTATTTCATGGGATTTTTAGACTGATCTTGGTTAAAGCTTTAATTTTACAGAGAAAATAATGTTGCTACAGTGGTGGGTTCAAACATGACGAGAGTTATCAAGATTACAATAGCGCACATGAACAATTTCGAGAAAAAGCATACAACGAAAAAGAATTTGCTCGACAACTATCAGAAAACCCAGTAAGGATAGAAAAATCTAATTCGAGATACGAAAAGCATTTAACAGAAAGTAATAGAAAATCAAGGCGGTCATATGAAAACAGAAAGAGGAGTGAATCACCAGAAGAAAGACGCTCATCAAGGCTATCACCAGAAGACCGAAAAAGATCTTCTCGATCATATATAGACAAAAAGAGATCAAGAGACAGGCAAATATCAAGTAGACGACCAGTAGATGAGAAGAGATCAAGCACATCGTTGGTAGACAAAGAGAGATCAAGCCGCTCATTGAGGAATAAAAGATCAAGCCGATCACCAAGGAATAGAAGAAGATCAAGCCAATCATCAAAGAAAAGGAGATCAAGTAGATCATCAGAAGATATAAAGAGATCAGGCCGATCATTAAGGAATAGAAGGAGATCAAGTCCATCACCAGTAGATTATAAGAGATCAAGCTCATCTTTTCTGAGCAAAAGAAGACCGAATGAACCTTTAGTCGACCTTTATCAATCGTTGGTATGTAAAAAGAGATCTAAAAGTTCATACCCTGCTGTCCCCATTAATAAAGACGAAGAAGGAAGCTGCAAACTTAAGAAAAGATCTTTATCCCAGAACCAGCTCAGTTCTAACTTGCTGGTTCATATTCCAGAGGGCAAAAGGTAACATTGTTGAATCAAAAACTAGTTTTTAAAATATCATAATATTATTCATATCTACATTTTACATGTACGGTGTGTGTGTTTTAATTAGTTTCTTGTCCCTATGTTTATTTAAAGTAAAAATAAATTTCGGAAGAGGAATCTAACTTCAATTCAAATTGCATTAGACTTGAATTGAACCTGCTTAAAGCAAAAGGCAGCACATGCAACTAAATAAAACGCGCGCTCAATAGATATTGCATTTTTGGGATTTGTTTTTCGTTCCAATTAAAGGTTAATTGACCTTTAATCAGGATATGAAATTAGTCACTTCTTAAAATTCTTAAGCTAATAAATTATTAATTCACTTTGTAAAAACAGTGAATATTTGATGACATTATTTAAAGATCTTATTTTTAAGCAAAATATCGTAGTCATTTAAACAAAAGATAAGACATTGATTATCCGTCGTAAAAAAGAAGTACATTTGAAATCGAACAAACAATATATGAATAATGTATGTTTTCTTATGTCCATAAGCTTAGATTAATTGATCAAGCTGATCAGTGATCAATATGAACTACTTCAATTAAAGATAACGGTTATGCTCTGCATTGTATTTATCCCGCACCAGTATTTGTCAAAGATTTTTAGCAACATTTTTTTTCTACATAGTTAAAAGGACTGTAAACGTAATTTCAAGGGAACCTTTGTGCTTAAATGGCAATGCCTGATTCACAACGGTACTCCCAAACTCTTTGTTTTATCAAGTATGAATTAGATATCAATGTTTTATAATTATAAAAACTGAGAATTTTCAAGTTTGGCTTCTCTGTAAAAGTGATTTGCGCATTTCTACTGCAGGAAAATATTCAGAATTTTTCGAAATAATTTTATACCTAGAAAACGACAAGGATGCTTCTACATTAGCAGATAAAGGTGTGTTACAGGGATTGCCATCTTTGCATGGAGGGTCACTTGAAATTACGCTTTCAGTCCCTTTAATATTTTTAGAGAATTTCTGAAGAGCTGGCTTAATTCGTCGGGAAATATGGTGCAAAGTACTGGTATTATATTTTTTTTTATCTCAGGCTATTGTACAATAGGTGAATTGATTAAGTATTTCTTACTATTTTTATTTTAGATGGGTCTCTTTTCTTAGATTTAGCATATTTTTAAAAGACTGGGTCGACCTTGAAGTGTTGCCAGACGAGGTAGGGAACCCCCGGACGCCATGAGCCTCCGCTGTGCAGAGACAAGCCTCCACTATGCAGACACGAGCATCCGCGAGTTGCTAGGCAGACCAAGCCTCCGCTTTGCAGAAATGAGCATGCGCAACACATCAAAATGTGCCTGTGTAATACAGACGGTTTTTTAAACTTGTTTTTATGTTTAAATAAAAGATTTTTTTTGAAATTTTTTGACATAGTGGCATGAGAGGCTTCTCAAAGATGAGAAGTATTTATTAATTATCATAAATAGTGCCTAATTGTGACTAATAAAGTGATATCTAAAACTTTAAAATATTTTTTACACTAAAAGGAAAATATTTGAATTTAATTTTATTTCATCTTTTATATTCTTTGATTTTAGCGATACCTTTTTTGAAGTTCAAATTAAATCTAAACAATTTGTATTTATTATTTGAATCTTAAAATTTTTCAAAAAAAGGTATTGTTTAAATTAAAGATTACAACAAAACAACCCAAGTTTACTCTAGAAATATTTCTCCAAATATCTTCCTTTCTTGTTAAAAGTTTAATATAAATCTTATAAACCACTATATTAGTCCATATATGTTTCTAATCATGACAATCAATGAAATTCTTATGCCACTAAGTCAAAAAAATTGTTAAAAGTTTTCATCACTCATAAAAACCAAGATTTAAGAAGCTGTGCTGTATGGTGGAGGCTCGTTTACTGCATAGCGGAGGCACGGTCTGCATAGCGTAGGCTTTGTCTGCATAGTGGAGGCTCGGTCTGCCTAGCGAATCTGGGATTCTCAATGTCTGCATAGCAGAGGCTCATGGCGTCCGGGGGTTCCCTCCCTAGCCAGAACTTAGCCGATGATTTTATCCTATTTAATCCTGTTTATACCTTTTTTGTAGCAAAACATGTGTACAATATAATTTTTATGATTTAAAAAAATACAAAAATGTTTTAATTTTCCCATACTTTATGAACGAATGAAAATTATGAAAATGTAAAAATTCCAAAATAAGAAAAATCCTTAAAAATGGTTTTCAAATTACACTCGCAGAAGAAATAAAGAAGTGTGAGATCTAGAAGGATAAAATTTACGCCATAAAATAACTGAAATATAGAACTTTCTTTCTAAATACGCCTTGATAGTAAAAATTTAACTAACATTGTTTGCTCAGTAGGAGTGCGGAACAACGAGTAATATTTATTTTTTGAGCAATTTAAAGGAAGGTTTTGCCCATTGGTCAGAATTATCTTGAACTAAAAATGAGATTTAAAAGGGAAAAAATCTTATGAATATTCTATCTACTATCCTGAAAGATTGTCCTTGGATTTACTTATTATTTGATTACCCCATTAGTTGATCTATGAGTTTTTATGTATGTAGATTGTAGACCTAAGATGAATGGGGTTTTGTTTGTAAACTAATTTTTCTATCACGTTTTAGAACTATACAAAGAACTTTCTTTGTCAAAACATTAAAATAAATGGTGAACAAACTTCAGAATTTTCAGAGCTTTCTAAATCATTTTAACAGCTGGTTTATTTGCAGAAAATTAGTGTCTGAGCAGTCCTTAATGTTTAATTTAAGCAAAACTTAACCCCTTCACCTTAGGTCAAAACATATTAAATCATTGACATTTTGTTGGTCTTGGTTTTTGCCTGATGTTTGTAATTTGATTCTTTATAGATTTATAGATTTATAGATTCTTCTAGAAATAAATTTTTTTTTCCTTCTAGAAATGAACCCCAACCCTGATACTGAAGATGATGATGGTTGTTGTGGTGGTGATGCTGATGAATTTAAGAGGAATCTGCTTGTCCATGGGGGCAAGGGAAGCGCAGCAGAAGTCCATGAATGGAAAAGCTATGAGGAGTCAGGGACTAGCAAGCTAATGACTAGAGTTCCTCGGGAGAGGAGATGGTCCAGACACGTTAATGATCCAAACGGAGGCTGGTCTGATTTTAGTCCGCAGGTTCAGGATCAGAGAAGGAGAAGGTCTTATACTAGACAAACAAGATTTGATGATCCTGGAGGGTCAACCGTTCCCACCTCAGGATTAGAATCAGACTGGTCAAGGTTAGATTTTTTTTCATTGTATAGCAAATACTTGTCTTTTCATTAAAATTAGGAAACAGCAACGCTTTTGATACTCTTGATTCATTAATATTGTACTAAAATGTTTGAAGGATAAGGAATTATTAATATTTAAATGAAAAATAATTTTTTAATTTGTTTGAAAACTAACAATATGTTGAATTAGAGGAAAAGATGCTTGGATTGCTGATCTGCCCCCCTACACTCTTACACCTGCTGTAGTAGATCAGGTAGAAGTTTTTAGATCTTTTTCATTTTCTTTATTAATTTTATTATTTTTAGTTGAAGGAAAAGCCTATGGATAGCCACTGCCATCTAGATTTTATATTCCAAAGGTTTGTTTATTTTCTTTCACATCTATCGTTAAAGAATACAGATATTACAGGCAAGAGGAGAAGGGGGGAGGGGCGTTTAAGTGTACATAAATATTTGGGACATTGAAGTGGAGTTATAGCTTTACCTGTTGTTTACAAATGTTTTGAATTATGGGTTTGGTTGTTGTTTTTGAAAGCTGTAGAGATTTTACTTTATTTTGAATCGAAGATTAAATCTTCTTATATATAAATATATATATATATGTGTGTGTTTACGCTTGCTTGTTATTAAATACCTATAGCCGGTCAAACCATAACACTCCAAAGAGTTTTAAACAAAAATTAAACGTTTTCATTTGCCTCACTGGATGACATTGAAAAGATGGCATTCCACAAAAAGCATTCTTCCAAACCGAAAGATTTAGAAAGTAATAACATGAGACAAGCAAAGTATCCTTTAAATAGATTTTTTTCATGGAGAAAGTTTTGTATTCAGATGTAAACTATAAAACCAGATGAAAACCCAATGGGCACATGCAACAACAGATATTCGGCTATGTGCTAGTGTTAATGCACAAGTTACACTGTACACTCGCATAAAAACTAATTTGATGCATTTGTATCAAATTAATTTATCATTTCTCTTAAAGGTTGCCTAGAGAGCTCAAGATTAATACCTGGGATGGATTCAAAACAATCCCTGGCATGGATTCTTATGATAAGGTAGATCTAAATAGAATAATTACACTTACAATCATTCTTTTGAAATCTCACTTCCAAAATATGTTACCTATTTTGCAAATTTCCATTAATGGTGAAAGCCGTTAATTTTGTATACTTTACCCAACCTGAACTAAAATACTAAGAACCTTTAATTAGAATGTTGACTCCAAATAAAAAGGTTTTCAGTCTTAAATTTTGAAATCACATCTTTAGTCTAGGTTGGGGTAGGCATAATAATAAACCGCTTTTGCTTTTAACGGAATTTTTCCTAGGTCTAACCAATATTACCCTTCTGGGCACAATGCCTGTTCCATAAGTTTGTTGTAAGTAGAAAGAAGTTTTCATAGCTAAATCAAAATTACCCAAATGGGGTTAATCCAATCTTATATACGAAATTGTTTGCTTAGTTACAGAACACAAGTTTAATCTACTTTTAGTTTGGTGGCCTTATCACTAACTTCTGTGATCCACGGGTAAGATTTATCAAAAATAAAACAATGATACAGAGTGTTTCTTATCAAATTAGATTATTTCCAAGTTTGAATTCCAAAATATGCAAAGAATTTTCTAGGAAACAAATTCTGATCAGTCACAAAAATTAAAATTTAGAGTTATGCACAACAAGTTGAGGGACACCCTGTTTAAAAATGCAACAATTAAAATAATTTTTTATCTCTTATTAACTTGCAAAATAGCCTAGGTTTTTTCTTACTTGATCCTATACTGTTTTACAGTACAATATTTTCTTCTTATTATGATTAGTTTTACAGTTTTGTCAATTTTGACATTGCATTTTTAAATTAAAATATGCATTAAATTATCAAATATTATTTTTTATAAGTTTTTTTTTCTAGGATTGGAACCTCCAGGAATTCAAATATAATTAATATAAAAGCTTTGATACTGAAACTCTACTATTTTTTTCTATTTTTATCTATAGGAAAAAAGAGTTAAATATAAAAAGATAATTCTCAAAAGCAAATAATTTTTAAAAAGTAATTGTTATCAAATTTATGAAAAGTAATTATTTTTTATTCCTATTAAATTAATTTGAATATGAAGGAGTTTATCCAACCAAAGCTGATGAGTTATCTTCAATGTGAAGAAGGAATCTATTATACAATAGGTCAGACAGTAAGTTACCCCTTGGAAAATTGCTCATTTGGGAATTTGCCACTTGAGAAGTCGCCCTTTGAAGCAAAGATAAAGTAGATTATTGTGATATAATGTGTTAATAAAGATGCCTTTTAATGCTGGGTTTTTTAAGGTTGTCATCCTCACTGGGGTAATTTTATGGAGGACACAGGAATTAAAGCCATAGAGAACATTGTTAAAATGGACAGGTACAAATTTGACCTTTATAGGAATAATGAGATATGAATTAGTTTTGGGGTTTGATTTTAAATTTTTTAGTTTTTATGGAGAAATCAAACCAACGATAGAAATTTTAACACAAAAATATTTTTTATTTTCTTTTTGTAAAATGTTTGAAACACTAATATAAAATTAATTATTGGGCAAGGATCAACAAGGGAAGAGATAAAGGGATAATACATTTCTTAGGGTTGGTAAGTGTGTTGCGATAGGAGAGTGTGGCTTAGACCTAGGTCCCAAAAATAGGTAAAATCAATGATACTTGAATCTGTCGGAACCTATTCTAACTATAACAGGGTGTCCCAATAAACATGGGAATTTAGAGACAAATTCTAGGTCGTGTTTGTTAAGATTTAACCTTGTGTTACCTTATTTCAGTGGTCAAATTAAAATTACGTCTGCTAGAGTATATTTTAAGTAAACGGTAAGACTATTTTGTTATTCTGCAAAATGTTTTATGACGTTCTGTATCATTTACATGCAAGATTAACTGTGAAAAGAAATAACTATAAGTGTTAGTTCTCATTTTACAAAATACATCAGTTTCCAATCAAAACGCAAACAATCAAATTCTTAACTGTAGAAGACGAAACATCTATGGATTTACAGCTTTCCTAACAGACATAACGATGAAAAAATTATTTTCAAATGCGATAAATAGATTGTTACTTAATTCCCACTTTTATTGGGACACCTTGTGACAATTTTTGGTCATTCAACTTTGTTTGATATTGTTACTTGTTTTATGTTTAAATATTTATAATAATACATAATGGTACATTGGTTGTAGTAAAAAATAACAATAATTGTATTATCTAATAGCGTTCCAATGGTAATCCAAAGAGAAGTGTTTAAACAGCAACTGCAACTGGCAATTAGGCTGAACATACCTCTTGTCTTACATATCAGGTAATCAAAGCACCACCAAAAGTGTTAGAAATTTCTACATTTACTATTCTTAAACTATATCAATATTAACCATGGGAGAAAATACATGCATATAAAAGCGACCGCTTTTTTGGCTGGTTTTTTTTCATTTTTCTCTTGGGATAAAAATATTGCAAACTAAAAGCAAACTTTAACAGAACAGTTTTGAAATGTTAGAAGTTATTAAAAGTTTAAAAAACAAACCAAAACAATTACCAACCCTATGTATTAAGGTATCTTGATTTCTTATCTTACCCTGACTCAGTAAGTTTACTCTTACTTTAACTTCACTTACTCTTATTTTGAACAAGGAATGCTGAGAAAGAGGCTATGGAGGTTCTGAATGAGGTTGGAGTTCCAGTAGGCTATTACATTCATAGGTCTGAACTATAGATCATCTGCCATGGCAACAATTTTAATTGACCTTCCATATTCCCAGCGGTTCCCTTTAAACCATTGACTGATAAAGGATGATGACAAACTTTTCCTGATTTATCTACAGAAACGCTCGTAATTCAGGGGACAAAAGTTTCATTTCTAACACTGAGTGTTTCCACATTTTATCTGTTAAATAGAGAATATCGATGATTTATTTTCAAGCATTTTAAACAAACAGTTTCCCGGGCATTTCTAGTTAAATCTTTAATGTAAGAACAAATGATATTAATGTTTTAATTTCTCTATGCTGTAATGATTTTTAAATTATAAAAGTACGGTTTGTTTTTATTTCCTATTTTGGTTATATTTTACCTTATCAAAAACTCTTGATTTGATTTGATGATTTGTTACGTAAGTGCGTAAATGCTTAAAAATTGACATTGATATGAATTCCGGTAATTGTCTCAACCAGGATATGTTCCGAAAACGCGACTTGAGCTGAAATCCGTTAATTGTTTCAAAATAAGGATATGTTCGAAAATGAAATCAAGAATCATCAAAAACTAATTCTCACACCTTATTTTTAGTTTAAAATTTGACATTTATTGTTTCAATATATAGTTTAGCCATTTTTTTTCTAAATATACGGTGTAATTTTGTTCTACTCGTCTTGGATTTAAAGATATATACTCTTGAAAAAGAAAACTATGCAGATTTGGCCCATTTCTAACACCCAGTGCTAGAAATGGGCCTAGTGTTAGTTTTGAAACTAACATCCCTGTAACTGTTGAATACGTTTTATTTGCAAGCTGTGACGTCATCTAGGTGAGTTCACAAAGTACGGTAGTGTACACTCCAATTTTAGGGCTTTTAACTCAAAATTTAAGAGACATAAAAATATTGTAAGTTTCTTGATGATCAGTCAAAGGTTTATAGGGTACCCTTGTGAATCAAAGGTTTAAAGGGTACCCTTGTGAATCAGGGATGTCCCTCCTTTAAATGGAAGGTCTCTAAAAATAATGCCTAAGCCATTTAAACACCAATGTAGAAGAAGAAATTAAAACTCAAACTGAAGCATATGAATATCTGAATCCCCATATTTTTTATATTTGTTTGATTGACTAGGCACTGTTTCATGGGAAACACGAACGACTCTAACGCATGGATGGAACGCTTCCCTAACTCCGTTTTTGGTAAATTTATCCATTTGAACTTGTATCAAGATTTCAATTAAAAATACCAATTCGTCAAATAAATTGAAACAACAATTAATTTGATATAATTTATGTCTACTAAGTTTTTATTTTGCTAAAAAATCATTTCTCTCTTCTCCCCCCCCCCCACACAAGCTAGTCTTTTGATTTGAGTGGTTTTAAAGGGAACATTAAATGTTCTCCAGCAAAAAAACAAAACAATTTTATTAGATGGTAAAGTTTAGCTAATTTTCCCTATTTCCCCTCTTAATCTTGAAAATTCCCCTCTTAATCTTGAAAATTCCCCTCTTAATCTTGAAAATTCCCCTCTTAATCTTGAAAATTCCCCCACTGCAAGGTCCGAAAGGGGGTTTAAAAACATTTTCTACTTCGTTTTCTTAATTCTTCTTTTAAAATATACTGTTCATACTAAGCAAAATATTTCAATTTGTTAAAAGCTGAACCTAAGAGAATTTTTAGGATTTACAAATATAATTACGTTCCCCAGCATGCATCATCTTCATGAGGTTGTTAGGTAAATATAGTTAATTTGTTTCCAGGGAAGGTGCATATTCATTTTTAGATTTCCCTAAAATACAACTGAATATTTATTAACAAGTAAAAGAAAGGTTTTTACAAATTAAGTTGCTTTTCTAACTTCAGAGAGTAAAATCAAATCTAAAGGAGTTACATGGTCTCAAATTCGTACCAGTAATGCCGCTTAAATTCTACATCAATTTGCTCATATTAGATGTGGGGGGGGGGGATTTTGTATTCTAGTCTTCCTTTGATACGATATTTGATAAATGATAGTTCTAAAGTTCTCTTTTCGTTTGTTAAATACTGTTTCACCGAAATTTGTTAAGGAATCTTCCACTTCAAATGATAGTCTTGGAAACAGATGCCCCTTACTTCATACCTAAGGAATCATTACACAAACACACTGAAAGTTCAAAACAATTAAAAAAAAATGTTATTTAAAAAAGACTTAATATCTTATGTTTTGATTGTTAAATGATCTGTAGGGAGGAAGAGGAGAGAGTAAAGATTACAAGAATGCAGACTACCCTAAACCAGTTAGGATTATTTTTTTTTTCTTGAACCAATCCTGATTTTTAAGTGCACTGTATACAGTGTAGTTACAGTGAATAATATCTAACCCATTATAGTATGTTGTACCAAAGGCCAATCTTGAGATTTATTAAAGTGCAGAATTTGGTTATTCTCATGATGGTTCCCGGCTGACACTGCATTTGAAAAATGCACTTAAAAATTTAACAATTAAAAATCATAAAAATAACTTCTGTTAAGGAACCGGTTGATTTCAAGAAATTGAATACTTGCCATCGAAAAAAGAAAATTGATAGCGATTTTAGCCTTAAATTGAACTTCCACCCTTTCCTTGAGTTTATCATTGATATACATGATAAATGCGACCTTTCTGAAAAATGTGGTAATTGGAAGAAAGAAAAGATTTTTACAAATGAAAAAAATGGCCTTGTGTTTCAAAATTAACTAATTTTGATTAAGTTAACAAGCAACCTGTTCCTAAGATAAAGTCTATAAATCTGTTCACCAAAACCTTTTCTTTCCCTTGATTTTGTTCAGGTTCTAAGCTCTCGGAACCAGGATCTCTCTCATCCTCTCCAGGTTCTCAATGTAGCAGCTCAGGTTGCTGCTCTCAAGTAAGTTGCAATTCATCAACTATTACCTGAGCAAAGCTAAAAACACAGTTTTGACATTCATATCACATATATCCATGAAAAGTTGCATACCTTTTCAAGAATGGGTCAATCTTTAGTTTTTTCTATGCCTTGGCTTTTGATTTTACCCAACTTACACTTTTTTTGTAGCCAAAGACATTTACATTTTAGAACCATAAAACACTTGATTTTAGCTTCAGATTTTAAGGAGTAATGGCACAATTCTCATTGGTTTTTGCGCAATAGCCAGCAACCTTTGGATCACATTGTGAAATTTCTCATGCTTATTGTTTAAAATTTCTCATGATTAATTAAATTCGAATATTTTAAAAATAAGTATTTCATTTTATTTTTATTTCTACTTCCTCTGAAACATTAAGCAAGCAGTATAAAAGTTATGTGTTTACAAAATTATTATCAATTACTTAATATATTTTCTTTTTATTTTAGAGGATTATCTATTGACGAGGTTCTTACAGCGAATACAAGGAAATTATTGGAAACTTTATAAATATTATCACATCTTGATGTTGGAACATTTTATAGAAAGTTTTTTTTTAAAGATATACTTATGTTACATTTATTGATACCATATTATGGGAGGTTTTGTTAACAAAAAAATTAGAAGATTATTTTAAAGGATTCTCAAAATGTCCGCCGTCATTCTACAAACAAAAAGTCGCTCTTTTCCTGAAGTTTTTTTGGCTGCCTTCAGGAGATTGTCTCTGGTGACGCTTTTTGCACACTTCTCCATGGAATTCTTCATCTGGTCGGAGTTCTAGGTTTTGCATCAAAAGTACACTTCTCAGCTATACCCCAGACGAAAAATTCCTGTGGATTCAGGTCCGACTCTTTACAGGCTAGAAAAATTCCAGGCGGTTGGAGAATGGAGATGACGCGGTTCTGGAGATACTCCTAACAATCTTGTTCCATCCTGCACAAACCATAGTCCTGTCCTATTCGCAGGACCACTAACAGACGGTCAAACCTTCGTCTTTATGTTTAAATACTGATCCCCAGTAACTGAACCTTAAAACCAGTTAACTCCACCCAATGTTTCCCTATGGTTCTCTTTCCTCAGATCTTGAACTTCTTTCAAACCTCTCAATTATCCTCTTTACCTAGTTGTAACTCATGAATTTTTGGGAGAGAGTCTACTAACAAACTTGCAAACTAATGAGAAGATTCTAGATTCAGCTGAACTAACCATATTTTCTGCTCCTTAAAGAATATTGTCCTTGAAGATTTAAAGCTAGAAATAACAAATTGAAATCTGTACTGAGTGGCCATAAATTCCATTATTTATTGTTGTTTTTTCGCTGATTTTTAGAAATACAGTAACCTCCGATAATAAGCTTTCCATATTATTTTTACAATAACATAATAAAACAGATTTTTGTCTGTAAAATGTCGGTGAATGAAATGTCTTCACAAAACATTGTCTTTTCTATGCATCGTCTTATTTAAGAAATGACTTCTGTAAGATGTCTATAACTATAGAAATTAAAATGTCCAATCTTTTTTTTAACAGTACAGTTTAATATTTATCTGATCATACATCTGTTTTCTTTTCTTCTCTTTTAGATCTACGCATTCTAATCTCTTTTAGACTAGAAAAAAATGCATTTTGACACAAATTTCTGATTCATACTATTCTTTAATTTAATCTTGGCACCAGAAGTATTAAATTAAGTATAATAGAAAGTTACTGTTTGTGAGTAGATATCAGAAGTATATGCAGTTTTCAGTAATGTCTGACTCAACAACTGTTGAAGGTTAGCTTCAAACACAATTGAACCTCAATATTCTTACAGGTTGGAAAAATAAAAGTCACACTGCACTTAGCGGGGTTTGAAAATTTTGAGTATATCTATTGTCAGAGCTCCACCTTAATATGAAAAATGGGATAGTTAAGGTTAGGAGTGGATATTTTTGAAAAAAGAATTCAATTATCTCTTGTAAGTTAACCTCGGACAAAGTGCTTCAGAATACGGCCTTGTCAAAAGCAAATCTTTTCCTTGCAGCCGGCAGAGTTTAAAATGGTATAATAGTGAATGGTGTACAACCTATTAGGATTCTACTTTCTATGTTTCCATTTTCCTTATTTCTGGCAAGAGGGAAGGGGAAGAGAGAGAAAGAGAGAAACCCCTCCTTCTCTGCACTATTATTTTCTTTTTACCAAGTAGGATGTACTGCCATATTATTCCTTACAGGTTTCTGTTCAGCAACAAGAAACTGAAGAGTTGTACAAGAACCTGACTGATCTGAGCTCCCTTGATGCTTACAGATAGAACCAGATTCAATTGAAAAAATGAATGTCTTTCCGACGAGTTCGGATACTTAATAACAGCTAACCAGGGTTGTTATTAAGGAGTATATATAAAGATGCCAGTAGAAAAATCTGGGTCCAGCTAGGTAAAAAACCTCCATCTCCAGGTTAATTCAGTGTTAAAAGATTAATGCAGGCCTTCAATGTTTCTTGTAGTTCCGTTTTTTTCTTTGTGTGCAGGGGTATGAATATACCCCCCCCCCGCCTAAAGTTTCTCTAGTTTGCGATTTTCTCCCTCTCACCCTGTATCTCTGAATTCTGTAAGAAGCGCCTATCAAGACCCAGTGTTACTTCTCTGAACGCCAAATGTATACTGAAATTTCCTGTCTATAATTTTTGTTATATGTGAAATAGAAATGTCTCAACACCCTGAATGTCTGTTGTACGCTTATTATGCTTCTTGTAAACAAATTATTTTTCCCATTGCAGATTCTATATTATATTTTATGCTTGCAAGCCAAGGGGTAAGAACTGAAAAATTACATCTTTAATTTATTTTTTTTCTGAAAAAAATCATTTTTCCCGCTGACTTTGTTTTTGGTCAATCAATTTTTGTTCTTACAATCTCAAGAGTCAGGTGTGCCTCCCATCCCCTCCTTTACCCTTCCCTCCCCCATTATATAGAAGTTAGGAGGTGAATCTGAAGTATAAAATTCAAATTTTAATTTTAATTTCAATAATTTTTCTGCTCAGGAATATCCGTAGCATTTACAAAATAAAGAACTAGAGGAATCGGAAGAAATCCACGAGAAATTCGGCAGATCTTTTCGCAATATTAGTTCTGCATACCGAAACAATGTTTTGAAGACCTTCCTTTAGATTTGAACAGCCCTAGTGTACACTTCACTCAAGAGCATAAACACACATGGGTCGCAGACAGAATAATTGTAGCAAATTAAATCTTTGTGGAAAATTATATGTATTGTCAAGAATTAATGCATAAGATACATTGTTATTTGCATTGTTTTCTTTTGTTTATTGTTAATTAATCGTATGTCATCATTAATCATTGTTCAGATTATCTTTTTTCAGACTAAACGAATATGTTGACGCAAAAAGTTTTTCTGAGGAAAACCCGACGTGGTAATATCATTAAGGTAAAACAAACTATCAAAATCTTCTCAAATTGAAATTATTAAAGAATCGTCCTTTTTTATTTGTTTCGGTTTGTTATTATTATATTATAAAGATTTATGGTTTGATTTAGTTTTATTTGACTTGATAGGATTTGATTAGGCTTGATTTGATTTCATTTACTTTGGTTTGTTTTGGTTTGTTTTGATTTGGTTTACTTTGGTTTGATTCGGTTTGATTGGGTTGGGTTGGGTTGGGTTGGGTTGGGTTGGGTTTGGATTTGGGTTTGGGTTTACCGGGCTTGATCTGGTATTTTTTTATTAGATTTGTGATCTTGTATAGATTTGATCTAGTATGTTTTGATTAATTTTGATCTGGTATGTTTTGATTAGATTTGATCTGGTAAGTTTTGATTATATTTGATCTGGTAAGTTTTGTTTAGATTTGATCTGTTACGTTTTGATTAGATTTGATCTGGTAAGTTTTGATTAGATTTGATCTGGTAAGTTTTGATTATATTTAATCTGGTAAGTTTTGATAAGATTTGATCTGGTATGTTTTGATTAGATTTGATCTGGTAAGTTTTGATTAGATTTGATTTGGTATGTTTAGATTAGATTTGATCTGGTAAGTTTTGATTAGATTTGATCTGGTATGTTTTGATTAGATTTGATTTGGTAAGTTTTGATTAGATTTGATATGGTATGTTTTGATTAGATTTGATCTGGTAAGTTTTGATTATATTTGATTTGGTATGTTTAGATTAGATTTGATCTGGTATGTTTTGATTAGATTTGATCTGGTATGTTATGATTAGATTTGATATAGTATGTTTTGATTAGATTTGATCTGGTAAGTTTTGATTAGATTTGGATTGATGATTTGATGTTAGGTAGTTCGAGAACACTATCTTCGAGATGATATTTGGTGTGGACACCCTAGTTGCCAGGTATAGTTGGACGAAGGGGCAAGGCAAGTCGCTTGCCCCCCCCCTCTCGTTGGACATTATCATCAATATTATTCGTTTATTTAAACAATCAGGATTTTTAGACTTCAAGAAAAATTCATAAAAATCTTAGTAGTTAAAACATATTTTAAAATTGTATTCTCCAGCTTTTATTACCCAATGCGCAATTTTGACTTTGACAGAAGATTTTTCAACCCGTTCTTTAACCCACGATTGATTTTGCTTCTATTAAGCTTAAATCTTCGGTCTTATCGAAATGTTGCAAAATTGCAGAAAAGAAAAACTGATGATAAAAGTTTTAATTACCTAAAACTTTGTAGATTTTTGTTTGAGTCGAGCCTAAAACCCCCCCAAAAAAAACGATGCCCAACCCTTTTTTTGATAATAAGAATTTTACTACAACTTTGACAAAAAAACTAATTATTATACAAATAGGCAGCCAACCGTAATTTCGTAGAAATTAGTAGGATGTCATTTGGTTTAATTCTTATTTTACATATGACCCATTTATTACTAAATAAACACTAGGGTTCTAGGGTTCAGAATTTTAAGTAATAAAACACGCATATTTAGCTGTGTGACCAGGAAGAAGAAAATGCAAAGCTCTCTAAAAAGCCAAAATCTATCGCAAGGTTTGTTCATATTATAGAAAACTAGCCTTGTCACTTAAATACCTTTACTACTAATGTTTAAGCGCCGTATTTCTTATTTGTTTCTTAAGTTTCGATCAGATGATAATTTTTTTTTCTAAATAAGATACAATTTTTTATTCTTTTTTAATCTTTCATTCATGTTTGTATTTATTTACTCATTTATATTTGTTCCCTTATTTATATTTTATCGAAATGTTTATGACCTGAATCCGGATCCATTTCTTCCGGTGCGGATCCAGGATCCGGACCCGTATCAAGATCAAATGGATTCTAGGCACTGGTTGATAAATCAATTGATCTGTATATCTGATTAGTATTGAGAAGAGTCCCCACTACCTGGTATTGGACACCAATGTTGTGCTGGAGCAGATCGACATGTTAGAATCAGAAGGATTAAACAATGTCATAATTCTTAACACAGGTATTCAATTCATTGGCTCACTTTTCCTGAAAAATTGATTTTCCTATCATATCTTTTATCCGAGTACATAAAGAATGAAGGTGCATGTCCTAATTGTGCCTCATAAGAAGTGATCCTGCGTCTTTATCTTTAAGGAAAAAATTATTCATCCACAAAGAGAACATTTTATTTAATGATTTTAATATTTTAACTTTCTCGACTTTTTCCTATAATTTACTAAATTTCAAACGACGAAACTTTAATAGTTAGGAGCCTTAGATGTATTGTGTCAAGGTTTCAGGACGTAAATCCGGATCTACAAGGAAAAATAGATCCGGAACCCGGATCTGAAAAGTGTAGTTCCGGATCTCATATATTCCTGTTTTAGTTCTAGAAGAGGTTCGGCACCGTAGTTCTCCAATCTATAAACGGTTAAAGGATATCATCTCCAACCCGGACAGACACTTCTACGTTTTCGTCAACGAGCACAGGTATATCTACAGCAGTTGATATTGTTTTAGCGTTTCTAATTTGGGATCGTCTTCTCAGCAGGTCTGGAGTCAGGATATACATTTTTAAGTATTTTTTTTAAGATCTAGGGGAAAATGAATAATTGGACACGAAAAGGCAGATTTTTTCATCTTTTTCATACTTTTTACCCCCCCCCCCTTCCCCCTAAAAATCATTTATCGAATAAAACCCTATAAGAGTTGTGGGGGAAAAAATGTCAAATGATAAGGGAGGGAAATGATTTTTTAGGAAAATATATACCCCTGTCTGGAATCTTAGAAGGATGATCCCGTCATCCAAAATGGATCTCGGGGTCAGAGGGGTCGGCTTGGCTGGGCAATCATAGAGTTGGTTAGTGGTGTGGGGGGGGGGGGGTAAAGTTACTCATTCTCATTTCTAAAACTTTTTCTTCTGGTTTTCCCTTAGAAATTGATATATTTTAACTGGACTGAAGTGAACAAAGTAACCTTGGGAGAAAATGATTTATTAAAAAAATTGAAATTTCTTTTTTGTCAGCAGCGAATGTACTGAAAAAAAAACTTTATTTTTTTGCTAGAAGCTTCAAATATTTTTTTTAAAATTACTATTATTAGGAAAGAGACTTACGTAGAGAGAGAACCGGGTGAAAGTGCAAATGACAGGTTTTATTTTCATTCATACAAACTAGATTAGACATCAAGTTTAAATGTTTTTGTGATACTTCTTCTCCCTGAAGAAAAAATCATCCTTATCTTTTTTATTGTTTTTTTTCTATTTTCCTGAAGTTATAAGCACAGACTGTAGAATAAATATTAGACGTTCAAAGCACGAATATTTCCATCGTAATTATTTTGTATTGCGGCGAGAGAGAAAAAACCAGTTATTGTCGAATCTCAAAACTCGATGTCTGAGATGACGTCACAACTATCGATTATAATAGTTTATGTAGTTTAAAGGATATTTAATGTCCTCTTCTATTACTTAAAAGTTGATTGATTGATACTCAAATGTGAGATATAATATGATTTTATAAGAAGAATTTGTTTAGAAATGATCGAGCAATCAGGGTTTCATGTGCATGGTTTTTAGAACATTGGAAGGTAATAATAAACAAGGAAATATACACGACAATGATATCGGAAAATGGGTAAAATTTGGGGGCCTGATTTACAAAGGTACCCTATTAAACCTTTTTCTGTTCGTACAGAGATATTTGTGTGTAAATCTATCGAAAACCATTTTAATCAAAAGTGCTTATTTTTCGCCGTAAGCCTATAACCCCTTTTATTTTTCACGAACACTCCCTTTAAAGCGGATTTAAAAATTTGGAAGGAAAATGTTTATCTTCTGCTACGACTAGAATGGGAATATTTATAATTTTCAAATATAAAACAGCTTGTTTAACAACTGCGTTCCTGTAGATTAATTAGGAAATGTCCGATAATCTTGATCAGTCAGTTTACTGTTCGGACAAAACAATCTGCAGATGGAGGGTCACTTGAAATTACACTTTCAGTCCCTTTAAACTTATTTTTACTGAAAATTGTAAGCAATTATGGATAATGTTTAAAATTAAGGAGTCCTCTGGTGCCAAGGGCCAGGGTGTAGTTCTACTCTCGGATGACAGAAGAAATAGAGAGCTTGCAGGAATTTCATTCATGCATTCACCTATCCTTGCTTAATTAGTACTTACACCCATTCATTCATTAACTAGATTTAAAAAACAAAACATTTTTGGTCGTTTTATTTTGCAGAATTTTAATTAATTAATAAAAACATTAATTATGTATGTGAAGAAAAAATAAATTAAAAAAAGTTTAGATAGACATTGTTTTAATTTGTATCAATAATCAAAATGCTGGAATGAATTTCGTCTTCCTTCTTCCTTTTTCTTATGAAATTTCTCTTTGGATTTGTCTCAATAAATGATTGGGCCTTGCTTAGAAGTAGTCCAGTTGCAAATCACAAAATCCTTCATTACATATTATAATTTAAAGAGATAGAAGACGACAAGAACTTCACTGTTTCTGGTTCTTACTGTGATTATTAATAAGTGAATAAATGAATAAATGAACAAATGAACAAATGAACAAATGAATAAATGCCTGATTAGTTGAGGAGAAGTTGACCGCATATTCCGTAGCTGAGTATGTTGCCAGTATATCAGAGTTTCCTAGTCTTATAGGTAAAACTTGACATAATAGAGGGATTATAACATTAACAAAATTCTTACCCATCAAATGGCGTTAGTGTGCGGGAGGAGGGGGGGTGGGCTGGTGTGGGCATAGGCATGATGAATTTGGGAGATTCTGAACCCAACCTCTTATGAATAGTGGTTTTTATAAAACTCACTTATTTTTGTCACAAAACTAATTTGTTTACTAGATAAGATAAAGAAGAAGGAGGGAAGTGAGGATGGATTCGGGAAGAAGTTTCTGTTCCCTGAACACCTTTCTCAAACTCAGATCTCAGCTGGGGTCAAGGGAAAGAAACTTTTCCAGGTATGGCACCATATTGATGGGTGTCTAGTAAAATGAGTTTCAATCTCTACACTCACCAAATCCATGTTTATAAGGTTATTGGCTATTTTCCATGGTCCATAGAGACAGAATCATAGGTTTAACATTTTCTTGAACCCNCCTTTTGGAAATTCAACCCCCCTCCCTTCCTCTCTAGAAATTCTTTTTCTTCTAAAAATATTTGCAGTACCATGATCAAATACAAATATGTAACTAATAACGTACTGCAGGGAGTATTCTATCTAAGCAGAACCAGTTTCCTTGAGGGAACGGTTAATGTAGAGGGAAAGGATCCCATTTTAGTTCAGGTAACTAACTCATTCATTAATTTACCTTTCCCTTTTTTTGATTATTGATTAATTTATGATTTACTTGTTTTTATAAATAATCAACTTACTTTTTGTTTTTTTTGTATTTATAATTTGGTTTTAGTTTTTGTAGTAGGAGTTACAGTGGTTAGCATAATAAATCTGCATATTCCACTTAAAAATCACGCACTGACTGAAAAACTATTTCCTTACATCACTGTTCACTCTGTTGGTTTCTAGTAAATCTTAACCCAACACTATTTTCTTTTGTTCTGAACAAGGATTCTGGGTTTACCCTGTCACGCTGATCCTCTAAAGACTGGAGATTTAACTCTTTCAACGTATCTACATAGTTTGCATTGGTTCAGGCAGAAACCATGTTAACTGCTTGTTTTTGATTTTTTCCCAAGGTTTCTTTATCAGATTCAGACCAAGGAGACCATACAGGAGTGCTAAATACAAGGAGGCATCGAACATGTTGTTTATAAAGATTAAGAAAAAACTTCTTTTCCCTGAAATGAAAATTTCTAAAGATTTGACCAAGCACTATGTTAGCATTTAATGCAGCACCTGCACACTGTGGAGGGTTTCAGTGTTTTGTGAATAATGTCAATTTAGATGGATACAGTGTCAAGATCATAAATGTTTTCTAGGAATCCCCTTGGCCAAGGACTGTACCTTGTGGAGCCCTTGGCTCGACATCACGCCAATCAGAGAATTCTCCATTTACCTTAGTTCTCTGTTTACGGTTTGTACGCCAATTATGAATTCATGTTAATGTTTTACTAGTAACAGTATGGGATTTAAACTTTTCTATTACTCTCAGCCATCGCACTTTGTCAAATGCCTGGCTGAAGTCTAGATAAATTACATCTAGTGGATGACCACTATCAAACTCTTCGGTCACAAATTCCAAAAATTCCAACAAATTAGACATGAAACCATGCTGGGTATCCTTGATCAGCTGATTATTAATTAAATGATCCATAACCTTGTCTTTTATGATGGATTCCATCATCTTACATGGAATATAGGTTAAAGAGACAGGTCTGTAATTCTCAGGTAATTTTTTAGAGCCCTATTTATTTAAAGATATTAATGTTATTTGCACATCTCCAGTCATAAGGAGCTTCACCTGTCAATATTGAATTATTATATATCATTGCTAACGGAGAAGCTAGAATATTAATGAAATACTGTTTTGGTGGTGATATTTCCGGCCCTGGATCCAGGTTTTAGTTTGTCAATTTTCTCTCTCACATCATTAGCTGTAAATAAAATATTATCAACAGAACTAGCACTGAAAAGTGGTTCCACAGTTGGTACGTTGCTGGTGTATTCCCTGGTAAACATTGAACCAAAATATTGAAATACAAATAATATGATTCACCTGTTAGTTCTTTATTAATTCATGATTCACAAGTTTTTATAGTTATTTATTGATGGTTTTGTTAGCTCTGTTGACTGATTTTTGATTCCCCTGTTTATATATGTAAATGATTTCTTAATGATTTTTTTTAATGGGACAATGATTTACTTGTTCATTTTGATTTTGATTTATTTGTGATATTTTCGTCTTGATGATCAATTGATTTGATGACTCTTGATTTTTCATAATTCATGATTGACTTAAAACCTCCTCTTTTTGATGAGTAATCGATATTTATGTTTTGATTTATTAAATTGATTGATTAAACTTTTCTTGGTTTTATTAATTTTATTTAAGAAAGAAAAAAACTAGAGAGCTTTATTCTTTGTCTAGAAAATTTGAATATAATTTCTAGGGATTGGAGGCTATGAACCGAGCAGTTGATGGGGACACTGTTGCCGTGTTATTGTTAGATAAGGCGGAGTGGACTGCACCCCTGGAGGTCGTCCTCGAGGATGATGGATTCGATCAGGGAGATACTCTTGACAAGTAAGTTCTTGCTCTTCACAAGTAAGTGCTTGCTCTTGGCGAGTAAGCTCTTGCTCTTGACACCATTTTTCATTTTATTACCATCTGGTCGGGGGAAAAAAATCATGTTCTTTCTCTTAATTTGCATTGAAAACAATAAATTACCTGAGCTGGACACTTTTATGTTTGATACCGATTGCTTGTTTTCTATATCCACTTTGGACACTTTTAATTTTCTGCTCTTATCCTCTCTTTTTGGATTTCGTACTGGGTTTCGACCGATGACCATTTCCCGGCTTTTGATTGGCTGTTCGGTTTCAACAAATTACACTCTGATTGGTTCAATTTTAGACACTTTTCTGGATATCAAATAAACAGATAATAAACAGAAATTTTATATTTAAAGGGATCGGAAAACTATAGAGACCTCTGCCAAATCTAAAGACATTCAGCTTACCGGAAAGGTTGTAGGAATAGGTAAAAAAAAAGTAAAACATATAATCAATCTCACTCAAAATCTGTTTTTCACCTTCCTCTAATTATTGTTGATTTTGTAGATTGATTGTTGATCGGTGATTAAATAAGTGATTGAATAAATGAATGAATGGTTGGTTGGTTGGTTGATTAATGGATTGATTAAATAGTTGATTGGTTGGTTAGTTGGTTGATTGGTAGCTTGAATGTTGATTGGTTGATGGATCAAATGAGTTATTGATTGATTGGTTTTGATCGCCGCAGGGATGTATATTAGTTGTGAGACTCCTATTTTTGCCCCCCTCCCTCCACTTTCAGAATCATATTTTTGCCCCAAATCCACAACTTAAAGAACAGGTATATTTTACAGGTTTCTAAAGCCCATTGTGGCGGGGCAGACCCCTTTACAAAACAGATTTGGATTTTAGTATTATAATGGAGCGTTTTGGTGCCCTAAAAAGGACAACTTCATAGTCCCCCATTAGTTTTTTTTAAGCATTTATGATACTGATTTCTCTTCCCTCTTCCCCCTTTTCCCTTCCTTTTTGTCCCTTTTCCCCTTCCCTCTTCCCATTTTTCCCGTCCCCCTATTCCCTTCCCTCTTCTCTTTTTCTTTTTTCTTTTCCCTTTCACCTTTTTTTTTCTTCATTTTTTCCTCCAAAACCAATCAAAGCTCATTGGTTTTGGGGCAAACAGAAAAAAACAACCCCTATAATGATTGATTGATTGGATTGGATAATTAATTAATTAATGTACATAATGCATTTTTCTATTTTTTCTTTTTCTCTAAAGTGAAGCGCAAGTGGAGACAGTATTGCGGCATGCTGCAGGCAAATCCTGTCAAGGTATTAATATTAAAAATCAATGTTAAGAATAATTGCTTGATAAGTAAAGAATAATAATGACGGGTTGGTCTTCTAATAACAATAATATTAATAAAATTGATTATGATGATAATCATCAATCACCATCAATTATCTTGAAATCGGGGGCTTTAGTTCTGGTCACTGCATTATCTACCATACAGATTAAAAAAAAATGGGTAACTCATCCATTCTCTTTAATTATGCAGTCGGTGAAAATGTTTTCTACTTTTTTATGATATAGTTTTTTTTCTCTAGGGTGCATACAGGCACATTTTCGTTGCAGCTGAAAGAAAAATTCCAAAGGTAAAAAATATTAGACTTAAACATTGTTTTTATTTTGGGAATGTTTATAATAAAAAAGAAGAATGTTTATCGAAATCTGATTTCACTCTTGTTGGTTCCTATTAATTAACTAACCGAAACTATAGACAAAAATATTAGAATTGTATAAGAGATATTGCTATTTAGGTTGTTTGATGACGTTTCATTTTTGTTGTTTGGATTAAAAGCGATTAAAATTTATTTTTTTATTGTATATTTTAATAGCATAGAAAACCGGAAAATAAATGTTCAATACATATTTTAGAGTTCACATTCAAAAAGTTATGTTTGCACTTACTTGGGAGTAATATGTTTTGTAAATTATTTCAGAATTATTTTTATATGATTGATTAAATGATTGTTATTCTTAGGTTCGGATTGAGACAAGACAAGCTGATAAACTGATGGGGCAGAGAATCATTGTGGCCATAGACTCCTGGCCTAGAACATCAAGGTACTAATCAATAATCATTCCTTCATTTTCATTCACTTTTTGTCACAAGAAAAAGATTTTTAAGGGAAGATAAATTAGATTTGATATAAATACCAAAAAGAGGGTAAAATCCTGTCCATCGTCAGGACTAAATCTTTGTAACTTGATTTATAATATTTTTGGGAAATCTTCAAAAAAGAGGGTAAAATCATGTCCATCTTTAGGACTAAATCTTTGTAACTATATGCCTTTTAATTTCAGTTTTCAACTTGATTTATAATATTTTTGGGAAATCTTTAAAAATTGTTTTATTTGTTCAGATACCCCCTGGGTCACTTTGTACGCGCTTTAGGAAAGGTCGGAGATAAAGCAACGGAAAACGAGGTTAAACAAATTTTAGCAAGATTAAAAATAGTGATTAATAATTCTAAAATATTAATATCACTATGAATGTTTAGGTTCTCCTGCTTGAGCATGATATTCCTCACTCTAGTTTCAGTGAGGCTGTTATGGAATGTTTACCCCAGCTCCCCTGGGAGATCACTAGAAAGGTTTGATGAATTTAACCTCGAGTCTTATTTAATTGATGACATATTTAGTTTGTTAATTAATATCTATATAATAAAACAAGACATTCATATATATATGTTGCCTATAGCCGGCCAAACGGCTGAACCGAATGGGCTGAAAATTTTTTGTTTACACTCATGGGCGACCGATGGTGTTAAAGGCTAAAAAAACGATTTTTGTTTTCAAATTTTTCATTTGATATGATATTTATCTATCTATAGTGAGGATAAAGGCTGTCGTAGTAAGGCACCCTTGATTTTGATAGTATTCATTGCATTAATGAAGATTTGTAGGATGTTTGATCATTGTGGATCTTACTAGTTAGTGCAAATATTACCACAATTACGGGACAAAATGTATAAATTAGCCCAATAGTAATGGTACAGTTTGGAGTTGTTTGCCTTGAATATAAGGGTTTTTGGAATAGTTTTAACTCAAGGGGGGGTTTGGGGGGATTAACTTAACGGGGAAAGGGGCTAAATGCGAGGTATATTATTAGATTGCCTTGAATATAAGGGTTTTTTTGAAATAGATTTTGCTCAAGGGGGGGGGGGTTAGGGGTATGTGGTCCAGTGTTAGGATTAAAGTTTCTTAATTTTTGCTCAGGGGGGGGGGTTAGGGTTATGTTGCCCAATGTTAGGATTAAAGTTACATGGGTTGACTATCATAACGGGGAAAGGGGATAAATGACAATGTTGGGAGGTATATTATTAGATTGGTTTGTGTTTTGAATGGTGGGTTCACTTTCAGAAATGGTTGCTGCATATATAGTGATTGTGAAAATTGAAAAAATAGAACAGGATATGTTCTACATGAAAAATGAACCACACTCCGCGTCAACCCTTAAGGATTATTTAAAGGCTAATGGATGCACAGTAGAGCTTATACCACTCTCAGGGATCTATGACAAAGCCAAACATAAGATAACGCAGGTTTATAACACCGTTAAGGTTCATGCACCACGGGCAGTAAGACCCGATCGCCTCTTGTCGTTAGTAGAAGTCCTTGAAAAGTTGCTGAGTAGGTACTATATTTCTACAACAGACTTATCACCAGAGCATAGAAGGAGGGTAACTAGGGCGCAGGGAGTCTTAAACAGACCTGACAAAGCTGATGAGGACCAAGTGTCATCGAGTGATCTGAGTCAGTCGGCCCCCTCAACTCCAGACTTGGGAATGGAGGATTTATCAAGGTTGGCCGCTACTAGGGCTGGGCTGGATGCTGCAGCAGTTAACGCTCCCGTATTGGCTATGCTGTCTGAGATGATGGCCAAACTGACCGTCAATGGCAGAGTTATGTGTGAGATAAAGGCAGCTATTGCATCATTGACAGTTAAGGTCGATAGACTCACTGAGAATGATAAGAATCACGATATAGTCCTCCAACAGCTGGTAAACAGGCAGGCTTCTGGAAAATGGTGTTCATTCTGTAAGACTGCAACGCACATGCTGTCTGAATGTAAGTCCAAGTTACTGTGTGATGTTTGTTTTCTAGATTCTCACAAGCAGGGAGCATGCCCACTTGGGGGCCTAGATTGCAGTGTGTGTGGTATGCCTACACACAGTGGCCTTGTCCACCAGGTCATAGATCCTGTCTTACGAGAACTAGCCTTGGCTAAGTTTGGGCCAGGATTCGTGTTTAATGCATAATGACTTAGTTTTAACACAATATTATACTTTTCAGATAAACGTGATTACGGTGAAAAAATTTCTTTGTCTTTATTTTGATTTTGGGTGCAAGAGGACCGCATGTTCAGTTGGGTTATTATCATAGTATTGTTTTGTGGTTCTGGTGAGGTGGGGGACTGGCCCAAGATAGGCATGGGGAAACAAAATGGAGCAAGGGCTAAGGCTCATCGTCTACGGTTAGCTGCAGCTAAGGCAGCAGGTATGTCAACTCCGATACGGATTTGTTATTGGAATTGCAATGGTGTAGCTAGCTTGTGTAAACAGCAGGAAATTGCAGATGCTATGGAGGGGGGGCAGATTGACCTCCTGTTTGTGGATGAAACTCACTTAAAGCGGGGGAGTAATGAAGATATGACTTTGATAGATCCTTGGAACCCAATCTACTTAGAAAGAGGGATGGGCTTAAAAAAGGGAGGAGGCAAATTGGTCCTAAGGTCAGAACGACTAAACTGCTTGGTTTGGAACCCAGAGGTAGAGGGTTCAGAGTGGATCAGTAGTGAAAGAGTTTGGATTCTGGTCCACAATAACAACTGCAAGATAGCAATTTGTTCGGTCTACATGGCGGCTGAGGTTACAGCAAATAATGAATATATTGCCTGGAATGATTGTATATATGAAGCATTACAGGGTGAGGTCAGGTCACGAACTGAAGATGGATATCTATGCATGATAATAGGTGATATGAATGCACATGTGGGTACTCCGCCAGACGGTATTGAGGGAAACAGGCCAGGTACAAATACAAACGGAGAGAAGCTTTTAAATTTTGTGAGGAATAATAATTTGCTAATGCTGAATCAGGATAAGGAACTCTGTTCAGGCTTGTTCACTCGAATAACTCCTTTATCGAGCACGGTGCTGGACTATGTTCTGGTGTCGAGGGCCCTTAAAAACAGCATAGCTAGAATGATTATTGACGAACAACTTCAATGGTTTTCAGGGAGTGACCATGTGGCAGTGTACGTTGAAGTTATTCTCCCAGATACCAAGGAGCATATAGAACTTCCCAAGAAAAAGGGGCTTTTTCTTAAAAAAGACCGAGATATAGGTTTGGCCCACAGGATCATGGACAGACATATCAACGAGATCGACTGGGACTCATTGCCATTAGATGAGAAATTGGTCAACGTCCAACAGATTCTGGTCTCATCCAATGTGGAGGCGTATGGCACTAGGCAAGCTAAAGGTGTCAAGCACAAGAATAGAAAACTTAAAAGGCTACAGCAAGAACGTAGGCGTGTGGCTCAGGTTGAGAGGCGGCTGTCAGTGGCAAAAATAAATAAGATGCTTAATGGAATTGTCTGGGATGAGTGTGATCAGACCCTACTGGCGAAAGCAGTAACTGAGAATGCCGATTTGGGTGACGAAATCAGGAAACAGCGCATGGTTATCCAGGATAGGCTTGCTAAGAGTGGGAGGTTAAAGGACAGCTACACTAGCGACCGTTTTTGGAGATTAGCTAAAAGGGTTACTAAAAATAAGGGTCATTTTTCTGCTTTGAAAGCCCCTGATGGTCGTTTGGTTACGGAATTCAATGAATTAAAGGACTTGGTGGTAACGGAACTGGCAAAGATGTCTTTGGGTATGAAGTCAAAGATCTTCACTACAAGGGGAGAACAATTGGTGAAGGAAGTGCGGGTTAAAAGTGCAACAAATAACGAGAAGTGGATTCCAAAAGAGAGAGAAGAGTTTGCCTATGAGGAAGAGGTGTGTTGCCCTACTAATGAAAGAGAGGTACGGGAGGTCATCAGATCCCTGAAGTTGGATAGAGCAGCAGGGGTGGATAATGTCTCATCAGCTATGCTAAAAGGGGCTAGTCCCACAATGATAACATTGATAACAGGTATTATAAATGAGTCCCTAATGGAGGGAAAGGTGCCTGGGGCATTGCAAACAGGGAAAATGACTCTGATTGACAAAAAGGAGCCATCTCTAGAGGTGTCAAAGAAACGTCCGATAACAGTATCAAGTGTAATGTTAAGTATAATAACTAAAATCATTCACAAACGCATGAATAAGATATGTGAACGAGAAGGCTTCTATGGTTCGGTTCAATATGGATTCAGGCAGAAACGTTCCACAACAGACTGCGTGTTAATGATTTTGGCTGCGCTAAGAGTGGCCAAGAGGAAGAAACAATGTATCTCTCTGGCTTTCTGCGATATTGCAAAAGCCTATGACTCTGTGTGCAGGGAATTGTTGTACACTAAACTACGCCACATAGGGTTTGGTGGAACATTTAGGGGTATTGTGGAGGGGGGCTGGCATGGTATGGGGGGGCATTGGTTCTCTAACCTCAAACCTCATGGTTTTCTGGGGATTTCATTAATAATTCAATGTTAAAATGACATAAAAATAGTATATATCCCTAGGTTGGTGTACATATAGCAGATGTATCCCATTTTATCCGTCCAAACACTGCAATAGATCTAGAAGCTGCTGACAGATGTACAACTGTCTACCTAACAGATAGGTCAGAGATTCAGTCTGTTATGTTATTTTATGTTATGTTATGTTATGTTATGTTATGTTATGTTATGTTATGTCTGTTAATCCGATTACAAAAATCGGATTAACAGACATATTTTTATCATTTAATTTGTTGTTATTTTATTTGAATATTAAAATGAAGAAAATTTCATTTAACAATAATATAGCTCAACTTGAGATAAGATACAAAGCAGTTAATGATTTAGGAGAGGCTGTTCTCATGTAAACTTTGCTTTGATTCATGAAAAGAAATGGTTCCTAAACTCCTATGTTTTATATGTATATGATTCTGGAGATTAAATATGGTTCCTGAACTACTATCTGGTAACTTAGTGTATGTGATTCAGGACAAAAGATATGGTTCCTGAACTCTATCTGGTAACTTTGTATGATTCAGGAGAATAGATATGGTTCCTGAACTGCTATCTGGTAATCTGTGTTCCCTCCGTGGGGGTGTGGAAAGGTTCAGTTTCTCCTGTGTCTGGGAGATGACGCCTGACGCACAAATCAAATCCACCAAGTAAGAGAATTTCATTTGATGCTATCAATTAGTTATTGCCAAGAAGCTTGAAACCATTTGAAATGGGTGTAGAGGGCGAGAGGGAAAGAAACGTAATTCATTGAATTCAACTCCTATTATAAGCCCGCGAATTCATGACTACTGAAATCGTTTTTAAGGCTAAACTTTTATTATTTCTCGGTGAATAGTCTATGAGCATGTTCTAGTATTTATATATTATAGGTTTCACAAGAGCATCATTAAATCAAGGGAAGCTATGACTTATGAAGCTGCCCAGAACAGAATAGACAACCCTGAGGACACCAGCAATATTGCAGCAAGGTTAGACACGGGTGTGCTGTACACTAGATATGTACTAAAGTTTACAATATGGGTTCTTAAAAATCTTTACATGTAAATGGAAAGAGAATTAACGTTTACGCAATGATTGAATGATTGAACAAAAGCGAGACACAGATGAATTGAATTGCTCGTGGGAAGATAAATACCTCATTGGCTCATTTTGTCCTTTTAAACAAAATTAGAACCGTTTTGAATTCTATTTGTTTAGTCTTCGAATCCTGTTAGCCCTGTCTAAAAAGCTGAAAGAGCGCCGTGTAGGAAACGGTGCTTTAGTTCTAGCATCTAGCGAAGTAAGATTTAGTGTGGACAGCGAGACCGCAGATCCTATAGATGTGCAGGTAGTGTTCCTTTTTATCATGTACAGTACATCCTGAAGATTAAATCGTGAAGTAAATATATATATTACATTTGAGTTTGAGTTTGAGTTTGAGTTTGAGTTTGAGTTTGAGTTTGAGTTTGAGTTTGAGTTTGAGTTTGAGTTTGAGTTTGAGTTTGAGTTTGAGTTTGAGTTTGAGTTTGAATTTTAGTTTTAATTTTATTTTGAATTTGAATTTTAAATCGATTGATTGATTGATTGATTGGTCGGGTGATTGACTGATTGATTGATTGGTTGATTGGAGAATTGAATTATTTATTTTTGATTTGATTTACTAGTTGATTAGTTAAAAGGATTGAAGGATGTGTCGAAGATACTTAGTTGATTCTTTTTTAAGGTGCAGAAAATTATTGCTGTTTGTAATTTTTGACTAATAAATTTAATTATTAATTGATTGTTTCTAGGCTAAGGTGGTTCGTGAGACCAACAGTATGGTTGAGGAGTTCATGTTGGCGGCAAATATCTCCGCTGCCGAGAGAATTTACAGAGATTTCCCGGACTGCGCCATTTTGAGGCGTCATCCGGCACCTCCGCCCTCAAACTTTGATCCGCTTGTCAAAGCTGCGAAACAACAAGGGTTCGAAATTAACCTCGAGACAGGTATTTACCGCCCCCTGCCCACCTTCTCTTGTACACCAAGATATGAAGTGGGACATTAACTTTTAATTATATTTTTAATACTTTCTCTCCAAATTTTATAATCATTTATTTAAGGTTGAGCAATAGCATATAATCATTTATCAAGGCTGAGCAATAGCATATAATCATTTATCAAGGTTGAGCAATAGCATATATTCATTTTTTTAAGGTTGAGCAATAGCATATAATCATTTATTTAAGGTTGAGCAATAGCATATAATCATAATATAATTCTAGGTTTAAAACCATGTTTTTTAGGTAAACAACTAGCAGATTCTTTAAATGCTGCCGCGGATCCTAAACGTCCTTATCTGAATACAATGCTTAGGTAAATAGGTTTTCACAATCCACATAATTGAAGGGACCAACTACGTATTTTAAGTAGTTTATGCCCGATTAACAACGGTACCCTTTTTCAGGGGCGGAAAGAGGATTTAAGTGAGGGGGGGGGCAAGATTTTTTAGGAACAAAAAAAATTCATAATTCGGAACAAAAAATCTAGCCGCAGGTGAAAAATTTTTTAAAATTTTTTTAAAAGACTCAAAAAGAGCCAAAATTAATGACTGAAGACTAAAAAACTAGATTTTTAACTTTTCACACATTATAGTTTATTAAGACAGATATTTTTCCCGTTTTGTTGAGAAGCTATTTTGAAAATAGGAACAAAAAATTCCGAATTCCCGCTCCAAGAATAGAGGTTACATAAAATTGTGTCGACATGTACTAATGCCGCGATAAATAGGGGGGGGGGGGGGCTAATCATTTTAGGTTGAAGGAGTTGAAGACCAACTAAATCTTTAAAATTATCAGATGGATTTTAATACTTGCATTAATTGAATTTATTAATTATTTTAGGATGATCGCTACCCGTTGTATGATGCAGGCTGTTTACTTTGCTAGCGGTACAATAGAGGAACCATTATTCAGGTCACTATTTTTTATTTAATTTTTTTACAGTTTTATTTTTACCTTTCTTTATAATCAATTTCGCCTATTTTCATTTGATGATTATGGCGATTTATGAATTCTAGATATATATTTTCTGCATTTATAAAAGATTTTTGCTTACATTTAAATATTCCAGACATTATGGATTAGCTTGTCCGATCTATACTCACTTCACCTCTCCTATCCGCCGGTATGCTGATGTTATGGTCCACAGACTTCTAGCAGTATCTATACAGGTATAACATGACAATGACTAGTGACCACCACTCTGGAGGTCTTTAATATTTTGTTTCTTTTATTGTAATAATCAAGGAAAAATATTTGTTTTCCTACACCCATTTGTATCATTTTTTATAAATTGTTACAAATTAATGTTTTAGGCTGACGCAACTTACGCCAATCTTGTTGACAAGAAATCCACGCAGAAAATTGCTGAACAAATCAATTATAGGAAAATATTGGGACAAAAAATTGTCTTGTTTAAAACTGGTAACCGTAATTCTATATTTTGGAGAGATATGAATCAATTTATATTCTGAGGGTTAAACATTTTTACGAACATTGTCGATGATGATATCTTACAGGGAGTGTTCGCGAAAAATGAAAGGGGGTACAGGCTTACGGCGAAAAAAATGAAATATCAACATACACGAATGCGTCGAAAAATGATCGATGATTATTAATGGTTGTAATGTCTGAATGATTTGTTTTGAATTAAATTGATTTTTTACGATCCGAGTTGAATGTTGCAACTTTCTGAATTTGTATGTACGCTACGTTATTCAGCATAAGTCGTTTTTAACAATTTTCTCCTAATTGACGCAACAGATAGAAGTAAGATTAGTAGCGATCAAAAGCGCTTATTTTTCGCCGTAAATCAATACCTCCTTTCATTTTTCGGCGAACACTCCCTTTAAAGGAACAAAATGTACGTTATGACAGACATATCTATTGAGAGTCATAAGTAAAATCTTCAAACAATTTCGTTCTTGACTGGCTTTCCATAAACTTATAGCTCTTTGACCCAGTATATTTTGATTGAATTACCCAATTTGCGTGTCAGACATCGTATGGCGCAGTATGCAGGGCGAGCTTCTGTCAATCTTTACACGCATATCTTCTTCAGGTAGCTTACTTAAAGGAACTGCCAACGTAACTACGAATGACTCCTAACTAAATACTGGCATGCCCAATTCACAATTAAAAATGTGCTGAATTCTGTCAATTTTTTTCCTTCTCTCTGCTGCGTAAATTCGCATTTTACTTCAAAAGAGAAGCCACAGAAGAAAAAACAAGAATATATTCGTCTTTTTGTCCAAAAGAGTTTAAAAAATTGTTTCTTTGAATCGGGCATGCAAGTCTTTTTTGGAGGTTCATTATAATGTCGACAATATCTGTAGTCAAAGACAAGACAAGCATTATTTGATGATCTAAGGTGGGAGCTTATGAATTAAATAATGAAAATCTACCAGGCTTGACTTGATGTATACAGCATAGACCTTCGAGTTTGATAGATTAAGTGTTTAATATCCTTTTAAAACTTGGCTGTTATTTTCTTTAAGAAATAAAGGGGATGGTGGAGTTGGCACATTTGATGTAGGGGGGGGAAGAGGTCATTAGAAGGTCAAACACTGGATTTTTGGTGCTACTGTATTCCCTGGGTCCCTAGCTTTCGTTTGATGTGCATAAAGCCATAGTTGAAATATTTTCTATTTGTGGAGGTCATTAGAGGTCATTAGAGGTCATTAAAATTCAATTTTATTTTATTTTAGGAATTTCGATCACTAATTAGGCGTGCATCCAAAAAATTGGAAGATTTGAACCAAAAATGAAGGCAGGGCCCCCCCCCCCTACATCAAATGTGCCAACTCCACCATCCCCTTTAGTTTTACGGACTGTATAAAATATAAGTTTGTACTTTTGGAAAGGTTTAACAATACAAAAGATTTGACCCCATATCTTGCGTCCAATGTTTTTCCTTTCTTAATATTATTTTTATTTCTAACTTTGACATGATTAATGTAGAGGACGAGTGAGGGATGAGACAGGATACATTTTGTATATCAGACAAAACGCTGTGCAGGTTAGGTTTCTTATTTATTGATCGATTTAAATATATTGTACAACTAAATCAATTTTACTTCATTAATTCTAAATGTTAATATTAAGGGTTTTTTTTATTTATGATTACTGATTAAACAAATTAACTGAACTATTTAAAATGTTTGTTTACCCCTTTTTAGACCTGATTTAGTAAAGCCACTTTGGGTTTGGAGATTTAAAAACAAATTTATTTTAACATTTTTAGGTTTTGATACCTAAGTATGGTTTGGAAGGAACATTGTTTCTCTGTGGTAAAAACAAGGAACACATTTAATCAATTTTTATATATATATATCCCAATATTGGCAAAGAAAGGTGAACCACATGCGCCCAAACTTTGTGTAAAATACTGAATCCTTGCAGTTAAAGAGATTAGTCATGTACCGAGTTAACTACAGTGGGTCTCACTGATCAGTGATCATCACAATTAGAATTAAAAGAAACTGTTTGTGAATCAGGTGTTTCATTTGGACTTTACCGTACTTAAAACTGCCCTTGAAGAATATTTTATATAAAATCAAGGTCTTTTCACCGTTTTGGATGGAGTGCTTCAAACTAAGAATCCATTTAATTATTTAATATCATTGCATTGTATATATCAATCAATCAATCACTCAATTAATGGTAGATGATCTAAAAGCCAACCCAGTTTGGGAGACCAAGACCGCCAGGTTGGTAAAGCACAAAATATGAATTGTGAATGTGTTGTGAGCAGGATACAAGTGTTTGGAGGTTTGATGAGGATGAGCCAAGTGTACAGAATGCTGACGTTAAGCTCTCTTTATTCCAGGTATTAAAGAGGTTTCTATACTCATTCAGTACTCATGGAGTTTATATTTCCTCCTTCATTCAGTACTTAAAGGGATAGTAAGCGTAATTTCAAGTGACCTTCCATGCTTAGATTGCATTGTCTGATTCACTACGGTACCCTTAAAAGATTGTTCTGATCAAGTATGAATTAGATATCAATGTTCATAATTTAAAACACTAAATATTTCAAATTGTAGTTTCCCCATAAAACTGACTTTCACATTTCTATTGCACGAAATCTTTCAGGAATTTTCAGAATTCAGCATATTTAAACTAGAATAATTATTGGATCAGTTAGAGGTTATAAGGCTACTGTTTTTAATCGGGTTCGGCATTGAGGGTTACTTGAAATTACACTTAAAGTCCCTTTAATAGGTTTACAATATCCTTCCCCATTCATTGCTCAAGTTGGTTACATATCCTCCTTCCTCTTTAGTTTTTTTTACTAAAAAATTCGTAAAATAGATTTCAGTGAATGTTTTCTGATATGTTGGACAAATATTTATAAAAATAAATGACGTAGAATCATGTTTTTAATATTTCCTAGAATCTGAATGAATTAGATTTGGATTTGGTTTCTTTAAACATTAATATTTAATTATTTTCTATCTTAACCCTATTATATTCTTGTTTTTCTTTTATTGGTCCAGGAAAGTTTATTCCCAACCCCCCAAACTTATGCATATACCGGATTTTTACAACAAAGCATGCCCGAATTTGAACTTTTTTATGCCAGTCTAAATTTCTTTTTAGACCAATTTCAGGGGCGTACGATGGGGGGGGGGGCTTTCTTAATATTACATCTGCTTGCATTTCCCTTCCTCAGGCAATCTATATACATTCTACATTTAATTGCATTGCACTCACCCAAACTAAAATATTAAGAAAAGAAATGAAAAAATTCAGATTTTTAACAATACCCTTCTAAGCTTTGTCTGATCAAGTATTGCATTATTGTTATTATTAAAGGACAACCCATCATTCAATAAAATAGGGGTCGGCGCTCCTAGCCGCCGAAACGTATCCATGGGCTAACCGAACCGGTCACCCTAGGTAGAAGACTTATACTAGGCGATCCGCCCAAGACAGTTCCATTACTGGAAACTCTCTAAAAAACCAGGCGGTCTGACCAAGACAGCTGCATTTTTAACAAAACCCTTCAAAGCTTTGTCTGATCAAGTATTGCAATAAACATCAATGTTTCCCATTTTGAAAACTGAATATTTTTATTTCTGGTTTCTTTACAAAAGTGACTCGCGCATTTCTTGCAATGAAGGTTTCAATGGAACATCGGACATGCCACTCTTTAAATGGAGGGTCACTTGAAATCACGCATGTATTCCATTTAAGTATAATTACATCGTATAGAAAAAAAATACTTTAAAATTTCACTTTTGCCCCGCCCCTAACTATAAAAGTTTCATTACAAAAGCTTTAATCAATACTGCGTCAGTGTAAATATATATTTGATGTTATAATTTATAATACAATATTTATCAATCCTATGAAAAGATACATATTTTTTTAGAAACGTTTCCATCTATATTTTTCATTCCTTAAAGCTTATACCACAGTATTAAGAGTGATTGTCTGATTTTGTGCCCCCCCCCCTCTTAAGAAAATTACATAAATAATTTATTAACGCTTGTAATATGGAAGTGTGTATATGATTGAATAGTTTACATAGTTATGTGCCCCCCTCCCCCTCCCTACACATATGCTCTCGTACGCCCCTGACCAATTTCTATTTATAGTACTTTAAAGTATTTTGTAAAAGGTACAACCAAAAACTAAAAAGGAACGCATTCTTTAAAAGTAAATTAGTAAATTGCTTTTCTTGATTATCCACATATTTTTTGCAATATTTAAAATATTGCAAAACAATTTCTTTCTAATATTTGATGTCGGTTGTGTTTGTAGAAGTTGATTGTTCAAGTATCGTTGGATAGTTCTGATATTCAACACGAGAAACTCAGTCTTAAACTTGTCTCCCCTGTCATAAAGGACTTCTCAGGTATTTTTATTAATTCTGTTACCTTCAAGCCGATCCAAAGGAAATTAAGAAAATTTATATGATTTTAAGATAGGCTGCGGTAAGGATTAGCTTTGCAATAATTTGATTTCTTAGTTTTTAATGCACTTTGATAGTTTTTTAACCATTTTTTGAGAAATTAATATTAGAACAGAAGACAGAAGAAAAAAATTTAGAAAGTTTTATTTCATACGTGCCCGTAGTCTATAGTCAACACCCGTCTCTTAAAATATCATTTTCTTCTGTAGAAATTGAAAAACAGTCGAAAAAAAATTGTTTCCTCTTGAATCCCTCATATTTAACGATTCCCCCTCTTTTTAAGCACTAAAGGAAGAATCAAAAAACTTCTTCCAAACCCTATCTAGATTAAATCCTGTATACCTCTTGAATGCTTGGTTAGCAAAGTCAAAATAAGCCACATTTTATTGTTATTTAGTGCCGCCGGCTCCTGTGATTTCTGAGAAGGATGATCTTGAATTAGCTGTATCAGCAGCTGCCGATGAGAACAAAATGGTGTCGCCAAGCAAGAAAAGAAAATCAGATGAAAGTGTTTCTTCTTCAAAGAAGTCAAAGAAATAGTAATTTTTTATTATGTTGAATTTTTCAGAAAAATGACAGGACAGATTATCGATGTAATGGTCTTCAATCACACAGGTAATTCACTTTTCGTTTAAGTCTTATTGCCCACATTCGGGTTATTCAGCCTGAGCTCTACCAATAAATTGTACTGCTTGATTTTTTTAATTTGAAGTCAGATTAGTTTTCATACATATGCGCAAATGTTTTTTTGGAAAAAATAAAGGATTCTATTATGGTCTTAATCACACAGGTAGCTCATTTTTGTTTGAATCTTGGTACTTAAGTTGTGTCTCCAAAGAATAAAAAAATTCAGTGGAAGATATTATCAAGATCAACTTTTTAATTCAAAGCTGTTTGTGATAGTAAACGAAAAATGGGAAATCAGCTTTTAAGCTGTATGGTTTAACCCTGAAAGTGATATTCAAATTAAAGAACTTCCTGAACACATCATAACTATATTGATATTAGAAATAGATTGGGAACTGTTTGAACTATGGCTAGATGGTCCTGTGGAAGCAATGTGCATCAATAAAATCAAGTAAATTTGATCGATTTTATTTATTCACAAACCTCTTTATCTTTATAAAAATATATTGGATATTTTTGGTCATATACAAGGAATCTAGAATTTTTTTAAATGAATGATCTTTTCAATGGTCTTAACTAGTTTAATCCCCCCCCCTTGCTTTTCACATTGATAAGAGCTTTGAGATACGGTCATTGGTCATTGTCAATGGTCAATATGAGAATGTTGAGCTCTGACCTGAAAACTTTAGAATGGGATATCCTTAATCCCGATCCCGTAATCTGAGTTTCACACTTTTTATTTCTTCTTAATCGTCACTTTCTGGATATCCCTTTTGTATTAAAGTTACGTTTAATAACAAATACAAATACAGATGCTATACCGATTGAACTAAAGTCAGCTGTCAGTTCACAAAACGGCTTTTAGAGCATCTAAACAAATATTTTAATCATGTTAATATACGCTTATTAAAAAACATATTTTATTTACATTTGAGGACTATAGAGTCCTTTTGAATGTTAGTCTTAATAAACATTAATCCAAACTTAACATTGTTCAAACGAATTTTAGTTAAATTGATAATGTGTAAAAATTAAAAACCTGTTTTTCAAAAGTTAATGAGCGCATCTCTAATCTCTAGAAATTAATCTCAAGATTGATGAAAAGAGGGGATCAAGTATTGATCTCGATATCCACCATTCTAAAGTTTTCAGCTCTGATTTGATATAAACTAATTTGATTTTCAGGGCTGGATATTCAGAGGATCTGAGTAATGAGATTGTGCAGGCTGAGTTACACAATAATTTTAGGTACAGTGGTCCAACTGTTTCTTAATAAGAGGATGAATGAATGAAAGGAAGGATCATGAAAGGAATAAATGATTAACGATAAATGAATTGAATGAATAATAAATGAAGAATAGATAAATTGATAAATGAAAGGTTGAATTTATGAAGGACAGGATGAAATAAATGATCGAATGGCTGAATAAAAATATATTATATTGTTATATTGTTTTGATTTCGCTTAGATACCATTTTTAGTAATTAAAAAGCGATTCTTCACTGGATTTTTTTTTCACTATATTCTCTACATTTTTCACATGTTCATCATAATTGAAAAGATTAATAATGAATTATGTTTTAGATTATTTGATATGCTTGAACCAATGTTACATCAACCATCAATATTCTCGGAACAACTAGGTCAGTTATTTGGTTGGTTGGATAGCTGGAACTAGGTCAGTTATTTGGTTGGTTGGATAGCTGGAACTAGGTCAGTTATTTGGTTGGTTGGATAGCTGGAACTAGGTCAGTTATTTGGGTGGTTGGATAGCTGGAACTAGGTCAGTTATTTGGTTGGTTGGATAGCTGGAACTAGCTCAGTTATTTGGTTGGTTGGATAGCTGGAACTAGGTCAGTTGTTTGGTTGGTTGGATAGATGGATCTAGGTCAGTTATTTGGTTGGTTGGATAGATGGAACTAGGTCAGTTGATAGGTTGGTTGGATAGCTGGAACTAGGTCAGTTGTTTGGCTGGTTGGATGGCTGGAACTAGCTCAGTTATTTGGTTGGTTGGATAGCTGAAATAGTTCGGTTGTTTGGTTGCTTCAACATTGAACAGTTAGAACAGATTAGTTGTTTGCTTTTTTGGACAGTTTAAAATAGGTTAGTTGTATGGTCGGTTGAACACTTGGTGTTATATTTTTTTTAGAGAGGTATTGATTAAAATTGTACGATTTGATTATTGAATTTATCAATTGATTTGATTTGAACTTCTGTTAGTTTGTCAGATTGATTCATCTACCCGAGCTGAGCTGATCAGTAGATATTATCAACTAGATGAATCTGTTGCAAGGTAACCAGTCTTAACTCATTATCCTTATTGGAATCAAGCTCATTCAGCTTTTATTCAGTTTTTCATCAAGGTTTCCATATAATTCAATCTAATAAGACCCCAAATGTTGTTTGATTGATATTAGGGAAAGAAGTAAACCATGTTGTTGTAAACAAATTAAAGTATTATGTCAAGTTGTAAAAAAAAAATCCATACCGCAGAATGTATACTGCAAGGGAGTGTTTATTTTTGTGTATATCATAATTTATCTCTAATATTAAATACTAATATTTATATCTTTAGACACCCCAAATACCAAAGCTCCCAATGACGCAGAAAGTGTATTTTCATGTCCCTGAATGTACTGTCAAACCCGATCTCATTTGGGATCCGAAATGGAATTGTATGGACCCATAATAATCAGGAGTAACCCTATTTTATTCAGTCCGGATGTATGCACATAATTATGTTTGTCACACATTTGTGCGTCATCAATCAGGCGCGTCACAGGTTTTTATCTTCATTTTTTTCTTGTCATCTTATTCTCTCTTACGTGGGTTCAATCTAACCTTCAATCTAGTATGTATTTAATGATTGTAACAAAATCAAGACTATTCTAAGGAGCCCCTTAAATCAAAAGTACGCAAAATGTGTATTGCATTTGGGGAGAAATTTAAGTAAACTACAGTAGTCGGCGTTTATGTCAATACAATGAAATTGATTTTTTATAAGCTTTTTTCAAATTACAAGGTTACAAGTAAACAAAGAGAAGCTGTTAATTGATTAATAACCTTCTTTTAAACAATTCATATTTGGTTTATTTGAATAGGGAATTAATCGGAAGAAAGCTTTCCGGCAGATTAAGGTAAATTAATATTTAACTTATGAAAAAATAAAGAGATTGTAATTCAAGCTCTATCTAACAAACAGTGATAGATTTCGTCTTTATGGAAATTGATAATCTGGCCCTTTTCCTTTTACGATTGCTGTAGTAATCCACAGTCTGTGTTTTTTGTAAACCAGGGCAAGAAGATGACAACTTTAATTGGAAAAAATATCTTGCAAAGAAAACTTTGCCAGAGTATTTGTAGAACATCGAAACTGGACGTTTTTAAATAGTTTCCCGCTAAAAATTGCAAGCAAATTTATATTCTTTATGTGTTGAGAACAGATAAAAGGGACCGTCATTGTGTTTTTAAGTGACCAGACCGTTTAAAAATAACAGTCATGTCCGAGCTTCAACAGTAATCTTTAATCCTGTATCTAATGTGGGAAATATCGTCGTTTTTCTAGCATGAAAAGTCATTAATTTTGACAATTTCCTTAATTTTTGTTTTTGCAACAGAATTGCGCATGTAACTTTTTAGAGAAACTCAATTAAATTTCATATACTTTCAAAAAGAAAATTAATGATATCTAATGCACTCATTGAGAGTCCCTTTAAAAATTGTCTGATTACAGGAAGGATCTGGATGAAATAAGTGAAAAAACCGGAGTTTCCCTTAAATCCTGTAGACGACAGTTCGATAATATTAAACGAATTTATAAAGGAAACTAAATAATAAATATATTGATGTTTCTTATATTTTTACATTATGATTTGATAGCAATGTTTTAAATAAAAATTAAATCAGTCATGGATTAAAATTGAACCTGTGGTTAAAATTAAAGAAAACTGAGAAGTAGATAATTAATAGGTAAAGATAGTTCAACCACTTCGCTAGTGTGGCCGAGATTGCACCAGTGACCTAGTAGAACTAGTCGTACCTAGCAGGGGTGGTTTTTTTTTTTGAAAAATCTTTTTTTTCCCTCTTTTATGAAATTTTTTTTTTTCTTTCAAAATTTGTAATAAATATTTATTTTAGGGTTTTATTTTCTGTCATTGGGGAAAATAAATGAATTTTTTAGTAAAAAGTATTAAATGAAAACTAAATAGTAGGATTTTTATGTACAAATAACACACATATTTTATACCTATACATCTATGGGGTGGTATTGTCATTTAAATATTTGGTTCTAGTGGTTGAAGAGACCCCTGGCTGTTTTTGCAATAATATCGTCAACATCTTCAATCTGTCACAGGCAAGGCGAATAATAAAAATCACGTAATTTTTTTATCTTAAGAAATTTGTCTACTTTAGTTTAAGGGATTTATTTGCTTCAACATTACATTTTGATTTTATTGATATTATCATACATTTTCATCCATTTCAGGGGTAAATCTTTTGACTAGTTATATAAAGTGCTTAGTGGAGAAAGGGAAGGTTTTATTACTATATACAACCCTGTTTTCATTAAATTTAAAGTCAATTATTCAGCTAAATATGCACTTAGTTAAATTAAAGTTCTTATTAATTTTTAAATATAATACAACCTTGGTTTCATTAAATTTAAAGTTAATTATTCTGCTAAATATGCAATTAGTTAAATTAAAGTTCTTATCAATTGTTAAATATATTAAATTTAAAGTTAATTATTCTGATAAAAATGCAATTAGTTAAATTAAAGTTCTTATCAATTGTTAAATATATTAAATTTAAAGTTAATTATTCTGATAAATATGCAATTAGTTAAATTAAAGTTCTTATCAATTGTTAAATATAATAAATTTTAAAGTTAATTATTCTGATAAATATGCAATTAGTTAAATTAAAGTTCTTATCAATTGTTAAATATATTAAATTTAAAGTTTATTATTCTGATAAATATGCAATTAGTTAAATTAAAGTTCTTATCAATTGTTAAATATAATAAATTTAAAGTTAATTATTCTGATAAATATGCAAATAGTTAAATTAAAGTTCTTATCAATTGTTAAATATATTAAATTTAAAGTTAATTATTCTGATAAATATGCAATTAGTTAAATCAAAGTTCTTATCAATTGTTAAATATAATAAAATGTAATGTCGCCCTGTGTTGTGTTTAGGAAATGGCGCTGAACTATGGAGTCATCATTTTCATTGGAGTGCATAGGTTAGCTGTGAGCTGTTAAATGTTTATCATAAAATGTGAATTTATGATTTGTTGCGATAACTTAATTTTTTTAATAGATTTTGAATTCAACCTTGATATTGATTAAGTCTACGGCAGTTTTTGTAATAGATTCCTGAAAAAAAACTTTAAAAACTGACGTTACTTAACCTAAAACCGACGTTATTTAACCATTTGAATATGTAAAAAATAAGTTTATTTTAACGTTTTAAGTTAAGGTTCGAGACGTTGAAAAAGAAGTTAGCTCCAGTTACGTTTCTCCAGTTTAGAACAGTCACAGAGGCCCTTATACAGTCCTGGACTACAGGTTTGGAAACTTTAAAAACGTTAAAGTATATATCATAGATAAGTACATTACATTAATTTTATAACGCGATTTGGCCCATTTCTAAAACTGTTGGAAAGGAGTCAGAAGCCTAGTTTGGAACATATGTACTACATATTAAGCATGGATGGATATGACGAGTGGCGCCATATCTTCCACTCAGAACTGATCAACTTTATAAACATTATACGGCAGAGAAAAATTTGATTTAATTATAATATATTTTGAATTTTAGGGGTTGATGTAGACGATTCAGGAGATCCGGTTCTTGACAGGTAGAAATTTAGAAAACTCCATTCGTGTTGCTGATCAATCCTTAAACTTTTCTTTTTCGTACATTATAAAACAGAAATATTATACAATTATGTTTTATAATTACCTTCCCTCCGGTCATGCAAGTTACCACCAAAAAATTGGACCCAAACAGTTCATCCGTTAGATTTTAATCAACACACAAGCCATAATATTAAAGACATATATTTTGGCGCTATGTCACTTGTCCTTCAATGATTTGTCCTACTAATCATTTGTCCTGTAGAACAAATACCGTGGAGGACAAATGAAATAACGCCATTTCTTTTAGGGATTTTTTCGGTTTGCTTCGTGAGTTAAAGTTGATCCAGGATAGAGAAAAAGAACATAGAAGTATATTTTTGAAAACCCTGTCAGATCAGGCGGAGAAAAGGTGTTTTTTGTGAGTTTTCAAAACCAGTGTTAAAAATTGGTTTTGTTTAAAACTTCTTAAAGGGAGTGACCGGCTATGTAAGGTGGTTGAACTGAGTATGCAGTGTTGTGGAAAACTTCTTTCGGGTTCATTTGAGACTTGTTAAAGATCTGTAAATCCTGAATTTGAGCGCAAATTCGACGTTCAAAACTCCTACTTTGGGGGTTTATGTTTTCAGCAGTGCTTAGGATCCGGATCCGGATCTGCTGGATCCGCATTATTTTGGCTCTCTGGATCCGGATCCGCAAAAAATGCGGATCCACGGATCCGGATCCAAGCACAATTTTATTTTTCAAAATGTGCAAAACAGCGTTAATTTTCCTTAAAAATATCCTATTTTGAATTGTTTAACAGATTTTAAAAATATTCTCAGGGTCTCGGGTTTCTATCTTGCTCAAATCTTAACTTAGACCTCCACCGTGCACCCCTCCCCCCACCCCCTTTAATAACTAGAGAGGGGGGGAGAAGTCTCCCTTTTCCCCATTGCAACTAAGCAAATTTAGTCTTCACAAATTAAGGTGTAAGGATGTGTAAGAGTGAGGGGGAAAAGGGAGGGGGCGCACATTTGCTTAAAAGATACAGATGCTAAGGAACATCTTGTGTTCCCAGTATAAAGAGACTGTTCTCTGCCCTGAAGATATTCAAATCAGACCTAAGGAGTTGCCTGAAGGCAGATATTCCAAACGCTCTCCTTCTACTAAAAGCTAATATAAATTAGACCTGTTTTTTTTCATCCAATAAAGTAAAAAAAAATCATTATCATTTTGTGCAAACTAGTAGAAAAATAGTATAAAAAAATGTTAAAATGTTTAACATTTTTTAGGTATGAAAAGATATTTGAACTAAAATAAATTTTTTTTTGATCAATGACCTGGATCCGGATCCGGATCCGAATCCATTTTTTTTTGAAAAGCGGATCCAGGATCCGGACCCGGATCTGCATCAAAATTAAATGGATCCTAAGCACTGGTTTTCAGAATTAGTTTTTTTTAAATTATTAAATAACGACAACGAAAAATTAAGTAAATTATACATTAATCTAATTAGATGGTTAGGAACATATTTCTACAAAGAAAGGTATTGAGTTTTTGTCACAAACTCTGATTTTATAATTCCTGTAATTTAACAACCCGTTTTTCTAGACCTTTGATATTTCAAACTATTAATTCTATTAGATCAAATAGTCTAAGTTTGAAAAATCAAAGGTTTACACCATCAGGTTGTAAAGATATAGGGTTTAGAAAATGTGAAATGTCGCAAAGACTCAATTCCTTTGTCAATAAATCAATGCTAAAATCGATTATTTAGTTTTCATTATTATATTGAAATTCTTATTTTCTTTGAATTTATTTGCAGATTTCTTCAAATGTCGTCTTTTCAATAATAATTTCTAGAAAATCTGCAGAAAATCTTTGTGAATAATGAGAAACCAGAATAATCGGAAAATAGAAACTAATAATTGGACAAGATTACTTATTTTCGATGATTAGATTAATTTTTGTATTCTCAACATGTTCCTAAACATGACGTCTGCAGTTTATTGTAGAACTTTTTTACATTTTATGTCGTCGTTATTTGATAATTAAAAAAAAACTTAATTCTAAAAGCGTATCCACCCCCAAAGTACGAGTTTTGAACATCGAATTTGCGCTCAACCTCAGGATTTACAGATCTTTAAAAAGTTTAACATGTCTCAAATGCATCTGAAAGAAGTTTTCCACAACACTGCATACACAGTATAACTACCGTACATAGCCGATCACTCCCTTTAATGATGACATTGAACACATGTTCACCAAAAGTTTACATTAGTTGTAATTAATTTTGGTAGCGTTGTTAATCATTTTGGTTCGTTTTATCTAAAACTTTTATTAAAACTTCCAACATTTCATAACTGTATTATGCTAAAGTTTGCATTCATTAAACTTTACAATATTTTTATCCTAGAAAAAGAAAAACGTAATATATGATTTGAATAGGTTGTTAAACGACATGGAATCCTTGTTTAAACCTTTAAACCGAAGTATTCTTGGTCTTGGTTCTCAATTATATCACAATAAGGTAAATAAATACGCTAGTGCGTATACAGGGGGGGGGGGGGGGGGGGAGGGGGGGCAGTGCCCCCTAGACCTCAGAGCTAGTTTCGTTTAAAGAAGAGATAACGCAGTAATTGTAAGGTAATTGGACTGCATTGTGTCTTTTAAAGTACAGGGTGTCCATGGGAATTCAGTGACGAATTGGATATCGTCTTTGTTATGAATTAACATTGTGGTACCTAATTTCAAAAGCCATAATATTATTATGTCAGCTAGAGTTTATTTTATGAAAAGGGTAAAAGACTGTAAAGGTGTGTCTATAATGTCTCTGCAAGATGAACACTGAACAGTAAAGACAGACAAGTTTACTCTGTTTGTATACTGTAATTTTCTTGTTTTACTAAGTACAACCGTATGCAGTCAAAACATAAACAAACAAAATGTGAACTTAGCAGACGAAACTCTTACAAATTACAGCTTTCTCAGTAGGTATCACTTTACTAAATCAAAGAATTATCTAAAAAGACGATATCGAATTCGTCACTGAATTCCCATGTTTTTTGGGACACCCTGTATTCAAGAAGCCAAATATTTTAAATTTAAAGTAAAATTTCAGCTCCCCCCCTCACCCCAGGAGCTCTTACGGGGAGAAAAAAAATTTCTTCGAACATGGTTCCCCCCCCCCCTCTCTATTTATTTCTGTCTATGCCCTTACAAATACGGCACTGTTTTGACACGCTTCAATTATTTACTTTCGTTCAGGAAATCAAAGACATATTTATTAACAGCTGGGAGAAACTTGTGGAACCATTAAAACAACAGAGATTCTCACTTGAGGAGGTCAACCAGGTACGTTAGGGTCAGTAATGAATGTTGTGCACTTGGGCAGAGGTCTTCCGTGTATTCATAGGTATGTCAGGGTTGGAGGTCATCCATGCATATCAGTGTTTTCTGTACAAGTCAGGGACAGAGATCATCAATAAACTCCAAAGGAAGAGGTCAATGTCATCATAAATTTCATAACAGAGGTCATCAAAGGTCGATATCAAAGAGATTTTAGCTATGTCAGGTTCAAAAGGCATTTATGTAAGACAGTGTTAAACAGAGATTTCATATTATTACAAACATCTCATAGAAATCTATTACGCCACTGGAAATCTATAATAGTGATGGTAAAAGAAGTGAAACATTTAACTACACATATCAGAGATTTAATTAATTTTTATTATTTGTTTAAGATTTTGGATTGTTACGAAGAAATCCTAAAGAACGGAAGATTTGTTCTTGAATCAGATCTAGGAACCATTTACCTCAGATACTTCAGCTGTCTCAAGATTATCATTTCAACATTTTACTCAGCCATCAAGTGACATCAAGACTTACACACTCGTCGCCTGCACCGCCATTAAGATTTTTAACAAGATCAGTGAAATTAGAAATTCAATGCCCTAAATAAGTGATCTGGATGTGTTGTATGCAATGCATCGATTAAAAACAATTCAGATAGAACACTAGATGTTGTCTTCAAAATTTAGTAGTTTTTCGTTCAGAATAACCCAAGGCAGATGCTCATAGACTACACGGACTGCTTATCTCCTTTCACAGGGTGGGCTACGTAAGCTTAAGTTGACCCGGCACGACATGCTACGTTTTTACGATAAGTTTTCGAGTGCCATCTCACTGCCACTTGTAGAAAATAATACCCATTCAGGGGTTAAGTTTTACAACTTTTAAAGAAATATTCCAATTTTAAACATGAAACATAACATTAAAAAAATGCAGTTTTTTTAAGATTTTGTGTTTCGTATTCAAAGGATGCTTAAATATCCCTAAATACAAATGTTTGCTGATTGGTCGTGTAAATTACTTGTACACAAGAGAACATGCTGGGGAAAATATCGCAATAATTTAGCTGTCTTCTGCCTCAGGGTTATTGTGAACAAAAAATCTCTAATCTTCAAAAGACGACATCTTTTGTTCTACCTGTATTTTTTATAAGTTATGGTAATATGTAATTTTCCAAATAAGTCGTGTAGTAGTTATATCTAACCATTTGCCCACTGCTTTAACCCTGGGTTTCGAAGTGTCAAATGAGGGAAAGTAAAATTTTAGATCTAATATTTGTTAATGCATGGGGGAAAAATCACTAAAATGAAGCAAGAGTGCTCTGATAGTATTTCTTTTCCTAAAATTAACATTTCCACAAAAATTATAGGTTTATATGAATCTTAATTCTGTGGGATCATAATGCATATTGGCCCATTTTTATGCAGGGACAATAGGTATTCGGCATATTTTGCTTTGATCATTAAATTTTGAAATATTTTTAAAGTTAGAATATAATGATTGAAAGTAAAGTAAATGGAATGTAAAAGGTACAGTTATTTTCCCAGGGCGGGGATGGATTTTTATAATTACACACATAAATATCAATCAAGTCAAATTCCCCAGAGTTAAAGAATTTCATTTTTTATCTGATTTGGTTAAAGGGTCTAATAGTTTTTAAAATTGTTAATTTGCTGTTATAATAGAGGGTGTCCTAAAAATTCAGGGGAATTCAGTGACTAATTGGATATCGTCTTTGTTACGAAGTAGCATTTACCTAACTTCAAAAGTCATAATATTATTATGTCTGCTAGAGTTTATTTTATGAAAAGAGGTGAAAGACTAAAGATGTGTCCTAAAATGTCTCCGCAAGATGAACAGTGACGACGGACAAGTTTACTCAGTTTTTATACTGCAATTTTGTTGTTTTACTAAGTACAACCGTATGCAGACAAAACAAACAAACAAAATGTGAACACAGCAGACGAAACTCTTACAGCTTTCTCAGTAAGTATCATTATACTAAATTAAAGAATTATTTAAAAAGACGATATCGAATTCGTCACTGAATTTCCATGTTTATTGGGACACTATGTAAATTAGTTTGTGTAATAAATAAATTATACATTAATGTATATATTTTGATCGTAAGCAAAGCTTTTTTTTGAAAACGATAAATGATCCGTTCAACGTAGAAATTTATTCCAGGATAAGAACATTTTTGAGGCGATAAGTTGATAAAATATATTTTTCCAATAATAATTGTACAAAGATATATAAACTTATGAAATACTGGGGACAACACTGCAAAATTTTGTAATCTGGAAGTTAAGACAAAGTTAGCATAAGATAATATCACAATTTTTTTGCATTTACTGAACATAATGTACTAGTTGTACTAGTATGTCGAGTGTACTTAGTACACATAAACAAAAATTTAAAACCACGTAGAATAGAATAACTGCAAAAATTAACTACATAATTTTGAATTAGAGTGAAGATTTTGGGAACAGTAATGTTTCAAAATTATGTTGTTTAATTTGATGTTCACTTGTGAATATTTTGAATTGATCCAGAATTTATTTCGACATTCCTAGTCTAAAATAAAAATAAAATAAATAATTTAGTAAATTGTAAACAACCAGCAAGTTTTTATTCTCGGGTTCACTACGATGTACAGGGTTACCCACTTAGGATGAGACTTCAAAAACGACTGTATGGAATTTGTACAGTCTGTTTCTTCGTGGAATGATTCCTTGCATTTAATACATTGTTTTCTTGCTTTGCGAAATCATACCACTTAAAGGCAGAAGTCTCATCCTTGGTGTGTAAACCCAAACCTGTATGGAGTACAATCAAATTCATGCAGCGAAAAAGAATTCAAAATTGTAGAATATAAAAGAATTACCTCATAGCTTTCCTGAAGATAGCTGGTCCCTCCCAGAACCCTCGGAGCATACCTTGCCAGTACAAGAACGGCATTGCATGGGCTTTCATCAAGTACATAGAACTTAAAAGTATAAGCATTTTATTAAAAACAACAGGGAGTATGAAATAGAAGGTAGAAATAACTGACGCGGTTCGCCCTTGCATATGATTATACATGCTTTGCAGACGGGTAATCCATTTGTATAAGAAATATTCAGATTCGGTAAATGTACATCAGACAAATATTTCTTATACAAATGGAGTACCCGTCTGCAAAGCATGTATAATCATATGGTAGGGCGAACCGTGTCAGTTATATCAATCACCCTTCTATTCCTTACTCCCTGAAAAACAACTTTTGGTTTATTAAATCAATAGATATCAGTAAATGATGGTTTATTCTCTGCAGGGAAAAGATAAAACAACAACATTATCCTTCAAGATGCAACAAATATGATCCGAATAAGCCAGATCAGAAGATTCGGATCCATTTAGCTAATTTTTTCAATGACTGATTAGGATAGGCATTAAAACTTGATGTATCCTAGGCACTGGGGAGAACAACGAAAAAAATATTGATAAGCTTGTCCAATCCCCCCCTATTCATCATCAAAAGCTAGAATTCCCACTCCACATACTCATCATCAAAAGCTCCAAACCACTCCGCATATTTATCATCAAAAGTTCCAACCCACTCCACATATTTATCATCAAATGCTCTCAGCTACAGCCAACACACCCCTTTTTCATAAAAAGAGATTATACAGATTTAAACCTCACCTTCTCTCCTTTGCCTGGTTTACAGGAAAGGTTTCTAATGGTTTAGGTGGAGCACTAAAATCAAACTCCGCAAGTATACAAGAATTCTTTCCTAAAAATCCCAAATTATTATTTTATTTACAGCCTAGTCAGAATTATAACATGGCAATCAGAAAACTTAATTCTAAGTTCAATTGGGACAACCATCATGAGTTTCTGGGCACCACTGTATTAACTTATTTTATGTCACAAATTTTGAAATTTTAAATAATGGCATATTGTAAAATTATTTTTTCCTCTCGAGGACTATATTGACAGCGTCCAGTGTGTCCCACTAACCATTATGACTTAATGAACTTCTCTTAGGTAAAATTATAAACGATTGTAAGCCCATTCAAGCTTTCTAAGAAAAAATGTAGAAATATTATAACATGTCCATTTTCCAATGGTCCATTAATATCACTACTTCTAAAAGCATACACCCTTCTCTGATTACTTAATCCAAGTTTACATCTGAGTATGAGTATGCTGAGTAATCAAGGGTTTATCAAGAAATTTGCATTAGTTACATTTCCCCCTTATATATTTTAATAAAAATAAGGATTTCTTAAACTTAATTGTTTAGCTTCAGATTCTAAATAAACTGTATATGTATATAGTATACCCAACAAGGACAAGGTATGATATATGCAAGGACCTGTATATTGTACAAGGATGCCAAGAACTATACCTTTAACAAAAGGACAATAAGGGTACCTGTAAAAATAGGGAAACAAACTATTTCTTTTTCAAAAGGACAAGAACCTTTAACAAAAGGAAAAAAACTATTCTTTGAATAAGAGGGCAAGAACTATACCTTTAACAAATAGACAAAAACAATACCTCTTAAAGGACAAGAACTATAGCTTTAAGTTAACAGAAGGACGAGAACATTACCTTTAACAAAAGGAAAAAAAACTATACTTTTAACAAGAGGACAAGCACTATAATTTTAACAAGAGGACAAGCACTATACTTTTAACAAGAGGACAAGCACTATACTTTTAACATGAGGACAAGAAGTTTATATTAACATGAGGACAAGAAGTTTATATTAACATGAGGACAAGAAGTTTACCTGTAACAAGAGGACAAGAAGTATAACCATCATATACTCCTTTCATTGGTTTTCCATCTAAAACAGCGCCAAGATTCCTGGGGGAGAATAGAATTTATTTATGATTTTATCATTGTAAAAATGATTTTTTCCTGGAAAATTAATTTTGAAAACGATGGGCAACATTATTCCCGGCGTCATTTTTGCTACATGACATTTTATCTATATAATATATATATACATATATATATATATATATATATATATATAATATATATTTTAAAAACTGCAGATAACACAGACTTGGGAAGTTAAGTCATATAGCAAAAATGGCATATTGAAAAAGATTATACAAAACATTGCCAAAATGAATTAGAAAAAAATGTGGTAGATATAACGGTACACACAAAGATAATATATATATAGATTATCATAAATCTAACTGGTGATTTAAGGAAATATAATAATCGACCGGGTCGGTCCTAGTATACGATTTTTGGACCCCCGCCCTCCTCCTATAAATTTTGTACATGACCACTTTTTCAACGCTGCGGCCAAATGGTCAATTATATCCATGTCTTAAACATGAAGCTCTACATCACTCCCATGAAGTACCCCCAAATACTCATCATTAATTCCTTTGTTAATTTCTAAATCAACCAATTTTAATGCCACTTGGGAAACTATTTCAAAACTTTCGTTTTATTAAATAAATGTTAGAAATATCCATGTAGATCTCCTTTTATTTTATCATATTGACTTTTAAAGTCAACAACAGTATTACATAGATATCTATATAAGTTGGTTATATAAAAAAAAAACTTTTCCTATAATTATATTATTATTACATCTTTAAGTCCGATGAACTGATTTCTCATCCTATTTTCTGTTTGTCAAATCTTAGTCACAAATATTGTCAGCTGATGATGTACTTTCAAGGAAAACCAGTTGAAAATTTAAAGAAAGGTCAATGAGTACAAACTTTACAGTTTACAGTTTACTAATACGGGAGAATACGGGACTTTTAATATTATTTTAATCATTTACCAGCAAAGATAATATATATATAGATATGCAGGCAGGTATAAATTTTGAGGTCTTGAGAAAAAGTGCAATCAGCACCATCTCTGTCGTACGCATGGCATTTTATCCTCTGGATTGTTGCTAATTTATCACTTTGTTTATGCGTGATAACACCAAATGCGTACTATAGTATCAACAATGTATACTGCATATTGTACTTAATGAAACAAATTATCAATGCAAAGAAAACTGAGGTAGGAATTTGACTAGACAAAGTTTAAATGTGCAAGTTGTACTGAATGGCATACGTAAATTAACGCAATTTAAATAAAAATTATGACTAAAAAGTACATCGAATCATAGGACAAAGTCCTAATAGCGGACAGGATCCGGTCGAACAATACATCCCATTCAACACTATTATGGTCGGTTGCTCCTGGCTCTTCAAGGCTTACAACTGGCTCATCACCCCCTTCACCCCAAAAACTCATTACTTTCCTAAAATGATCATCCTAGGTTTGGTGCGCTCAAAACTTCAATTGGATTGGTATATAAAAAAGAAATGAGCCAGCCCCAGTCCATTATCCCCTTTGATAGCCTTAGTTTAATTTTTTTAAATAATTCAAATGTGCCATGAAATTACCCAAATAAGTAAACAGTCCCTTTAAACCTCTGTTTTTGAAACTTTCCAAATTCATAGGAAATTCTGCAAACAAATGCAGGAAGGAACTGTTAATCTTTTCTTTGTTATTATGCAATAAAGTTAGCCCCATTCCGACTGGGGGGCGGGTCTCTGGTTACCCCCCTCCCCCTAACATTGGTCTGAGGCTCTTCAAACTTTTTGAGTTTTCTAACTAACACATGCCCATCACTTTTGGCTTAAAGTGGGGATTTTATACCTACTGTCTGAGTCCTCAGGCATATTGCCTGAATGCCTTATCTTACCTTTACCCGACTAAAACTATATTTAGACCTACCTCCGGTCATTGGATTTTGACTACTTACAACTCTCTGGAAAGCCTTTAACAAAAGAAAGCCGATTGCACAACTTTTGCGAAGAAATACTGCAAATGTTTTTGCATATTTAAATTTGCCGAGGCAATGGCTTTTCAAAACTTAATTCAGGATTAAAATATAAAAAAACCACTACACTGCAAAATTTCTGTATTTTATGTTCATTGGACTGTTAAAAATCAAAATTTGAGCCTGAAAGCCTTTCCCATTTTTTGAAAAAGGTGTCTTCAAAGTTCACCTTGTAAAAACATTTAAATTCATGCATAAAAAACAGTAATTTTAATAATTCTTTAAACCATCAACCCCAAGATCTTAATTGCATATTGTGGTACCAATTAAAAAATCTAATTTTGTTTAAATATCTCATAAAAACCGTTTGATTAAATAGATATCACTTATTTAACAAATATAAAATAATTTCCAAAGGTTTGTCAATATTTCTGTTTGTCTACTATATCTTTCCTGAGTACACCCAATCATAACATAAACAAAACACGTACTGTATGTTTGTGTTACCTTGAAATTTAATTTCATTGGTCAAACAGGTCCAGATAGCAACACTTGAACTATACAGGACGCAATACGCGTACTGTATGTTTAAATAACACAAATGCGTATTTCCTATAGATGGCAGCAAGAAGAGAAAGGAATATAGAAAGTAATCAATTTGCTATAGATGTCTCTCCTTGCACTTTATCTCAGAGGGACAAAAATTAGTTGTCTGCTACAAGCAATTTAGGAAGGAGGTTTCTACCTGCCAGCGTATCTATATATATTATCTTTGGGTACACATTACACTAGTCATAACTAATATAAAGAGGAATAAAAGATTAAAGGAGTCTTCGTAAAATCTTTTTTATTAATAATAAAGCTAATGATTTTCTAATCCGTAACAGCTACAAATTACGAGCGATGTATTAAAAAAACTTTAAAGACAACTTAAATTCCGGTTTTACTAGTTAGGGCTGCAGATGAAGAAAAATATCAATGACCATAAATACTTGACTTACTTTCTTAAAACTCCAAACTGACCAGCCACAGCTGCCGCAGTCTTACTTGTTGGTAGATTAGTACAATCTCCCAAACCGAATACATTGGGATACCTAAATAGTTGAACTGTTAAGTATGCGATATCAGAAGCAGATATGTTAGTGAAGTAGGGTATCACCCCCCCCCCCAAAAATTTTTTTTTTTTTTAAATAATGAGATCCACAATTTTCTTTCATCTTAAAAGACCAAATTCAGCGATAAAACTACATTTTGCGCTCCGTGCACAGTGCCCAACTTCCCTTTACACTTCGGTCAAATGATGTTACATATATCTTGAACAATAAAGAAACCTGACATGTTGTAGAGTGAATTTATCGATCTCAAGGTATCCTTCAGAATTAGATAACTCCTTACAGTCTCTTACTACAGGAGCAGCGTTCATGTAGGGGGTTACATGGAGAAGGTCATAATGCTGAACCACCTGTTCATAGATAATATTTGTCATGATTAAGCGATTCATAAATTTCGAAATTTCAATCTGTTCTCTTTGTTTTACCCAACCTTTCTTGCCCTTACTAACCTACCCCACCTGTTCTACTAAAACATGACCAACTATGCCCTCCCCTAACCTATTCTGCTCTAACCTGATCTTTCTTGTCCTAGCCTGCCCAAAGCCAACCGGACCTGTCCTGTCCTATCCTGACTGACCCAACTGACCTCCCCTAACTCCCAACTGCCCTAACCCAACCTGTTTTACTAACCCTGATCTGTCCTATCCAATCCTGATCCAACCTGCTCTAACCCTACTGACCTTCCCTAACCTGACCTGTCCTCCCTGAGCCGTCTGACCTTCGAGGGGGGGGNCCATGAGCCCTGCAAAATTCTGTTCGAACCCAGGTAGTTAGCAGAACCCTGTTCCCCCACTGAATCCTGTTTGAACCCCGCCAAAAAACAATCGTATAAAAAACGGTTACTAATCGATTTTAAAAAACGATAGTTTTCAAAAACGATTGTTATTCGTTTTCTAAAAGTTCCCACACATTTACATTTTTGAATTTTTTCTTTTTAGAGTCAATTTTTATCAAAAGTTTATTTTTTTAACGGTCTTTGGCAGGGTTCGAACAGGATTCAGCGGGGAGGGTTTCGCAGGGTTGGAACAGGGTTCTGCTAAATACCTGGGTTAGAAACATGCAACATGCCCCCCCCCCCTTCCCTTAGCCTGCCACGTCCTGATAATGTCTGACCTTCTCCTGAGTGTCGAGATTCAGAAATATTGCTTCCCTTGTGTCTGGTTTGACTTCAATCAGATCATGCCTAAAACCAAAGTATCTTTATAATTTTGAGTCAAGCTAATACAGAATCCAAATTTTCAAGATTTAGGCAGCCTTATGTTTACTTTTGTGCAATAGTTGACTAATAATTGCATATTCTAGAAACTTGAAATTAGATAACCAACCTTAGGTTTACATTTATTCCTCTCTCCTTCACAACTTTCCAGAGCGCATCCGCGTACTTCTTAACCCCGAATATAACAGGAAGAGCTGTATAATAAACCATATTTGCTGGTTTACCCTGTAACCTAGGATAGTACACTCATCAATAATTAAATAAAAACTTGAATTCCATACATATGTTAATTGATCTTAATTTCAGGTTCTTGTAAATGAATTTCCAGCTGCAGAGAATTAGCAGTTTATTGATTAAAATCAAATCAAATTTGTAAATGTATAATTGTCCCAAAGTCTATTTTGTGCAGTGGTTGGCTGTAATCAATTCTACAACTTAAAACTTAACCATTCCCTTGTGTTAGAGAGTTTCGACTGCTTCAATAAAAACAACCATGTTGTTTTATAACAAAATAATGAGGAATAAATAAATTTAATAACAAAAATAGCTCATTGGAAAGATGGTCTTTGTCTGAGGTTGCAGAAGGAGTCATTATAACTGCTGTGGATTCTGTAGTATGTATTTTATTTAATTCAGTTTTTTGTTTAGTTCTTAGTTTATGTAAAATATTTTAATATTACTTCTTAAAGATAATTTTTAAATAGTCTCGATTGTTTCCCAATTTAATAACTTTACAAAAGTCGTTATTTTAAACAACTATTTAACTGAAAATATAAATTTTAAACCTAAAAGTTTCCTCTGCAATGTAGAGAATTTTCTGCGGTGCACCTGCGCATTTAATTGGACTGTTTGGTAAAGTGAAAACTGCATCACCCCCTGCCTAGAATAACATGAATTGTATTATTTCCAGTAAAAAAGTTGAGTAATATTTTACCTTAAATTCCTTGATTGCTTTTGTAGTTTTTTCCACGTAAAGAGGACTATAAACATATTATGTGTTCATTCTAATTCTATAAGAGGGGCCGGGGTTTGAATATGATAAAGTGAAAATTTTCCCTACTAGGCAGTTCATAATAAAACTAATGAAAAATAGCACACTACATTTGCAGGTTATGCACACTGTAAAAAGTAAAACTTATTAGCATGAAGTGGATATCAAGGTATGTACACTGTAAAAAGTACAATTCACAAAATGAAGTGAATATCATGGTATGTACATTGTGCACTGTAAACAGTACAATTTACAAAATGAAGTGAATATCATGGTATGTACATTGTACACTGTAAACAGTACAATTTACAAAATGAAGTGAATATCCAGATATTGATTAAAACTATTTTAGAACAAATAATTTCCTGTAGTTAGAGCAAACTCCTGGAGTTTCAAATGCTTCTGGCAAACCCTTTATCTTGTCATACCTATACAAATTACAAATACAATGCATTAAATTTCTTTATTGAAACCAGTTCTTGAGAGATTTAACAAATACTTTTTCAGAAATAACAATTCTTTAGAGATCTTACAATTCTTAACAGAGATCTTACAACTCTTTATAGAGATCTTAAAATTCTTTAGAGATCTTACAACTCTTTACAGAGATCTTACAATTCTTTAGAGATCTTACAACTCTTCACAGAGATCTTACAACTCTTAAAAGAGATCTTACAACTCTTTACAGAGATCTGAAAATTCTTTAGAGATCTTACAACTCTTTACAGAGATCTTACAACTCTTAACAGAGATCTTACAACTCTTTACAGAGATCTGAAAATGCTTTACAGATCTTACAACTCTTCACAGAGATCTTAAAATTCTTTAGAGATCTTACAACTCTTTACAGAGATCTTAAAATTCTTTAGAGATCTTACAACTCTTCACAAAGATCTTAAAATTCTTTAGAGATCTTACAACTCTTTACAGAGATCTTAAAATTCTTTAGAGATCTTACAACTCTTCACAGAGATCTTAAAATTCTTTAGAGATCTTACAACTCTTTACAGAG